TGATTTTTTTTTTTTTTATAATCAACATGGTCAATATACAAATGGTAAGCACCAAACTGATTTGCTATACACAGTAATTGGATTCTGCGTTTAATTACAGGTGGTAACGACATTTTAAGCACCTTATACAGGTGTTGGGGGGGGGAGGGGGTTTATGAAATGTTAAGCAACATTAAGGAAGTCTGAGCTTCTGGAGCATCGCCAAATTTCAGAGGTGCCTTTCAACTCCAAATTGCAGTTTTCATGGGAGGATAATTATAGCTCTGGCCACCTGGACCGCTCCTGCTGGAGGCAGGCGGAGCGAGGGAGTACCTTTCTTTTTTTTTTTTCCCCCTTTTAAATTATTCCAAATACGTTATAGTTTGTATTCTGATCCCTAACAATACCGCGTGGCCATCTTTGTTTTTAGTGTGTATGTGTGCTGGTCAAAACCAGTGGCAGAACACTGTGTCATGAACTGGCAGTGCAGCTGAGATTGGGTGACCTTGGAAAAGGTACTTGAATTATATTGATGGCCTCCTTGATCTTGGGGGAGTTTTAATTCACATATAAAATTTCAGCCAGAGAAAATTAGACGGAGATTTGTTTTGGAGCTAAGGAGAAAATATATGGCCAAGAAAAGGAGTTGCCTTCTCCTTCATTACTCATGTAATGTAGAAAGTAACTTTTTCCTAGTAGTGGAATTTAAACCTTAACATGTCCAAAAATAACCATTTTTTTGTTTCTTTCTTTTTAAAATACATTCATTTAAACTTAGAATATATGAAAAGACATTCTGTCATATTCAAGACACTGATTTCTTTTATAGAAATCGAGAGAGGCAGCAGTTTCAAGAACCCTAAATCAGTTCTTAATTTCTACTCCTTTTCTTGCCTTCCTACACAACCTGTGCTTATTAGCAAAAAAGCCCAAAGGCTTATCCTGCTTGTGCCTGCTCTGTGAGGGCTGCCTGTGCTCAGTGGACAGGTCAGGCTGTGTGAGCCGCCAGTCAAGGGAGCTCAAGCTGTTCCCGTTAGAAGATGCAGCTTTATTTCTGAGATAAATCTTAATTCTTCATCTCTAATAGCATTTTCTGGTGTGAAATCCTGGCTTTAGTGACGTCAGCAGGACTCTGAGGACATCCAATCTTCTGAACTGTTATTTAAGAAGCACATCATTATTCTGCTGTACTGCAGTACTTTTGCTTGCAAATGGATGTTACATCACATGCTGTTTGAGCAGTACATTTCTGCCTGTGAATTGTAAAAAGGAGCAGATATCTTAAAAGAACATTGCCAATAAAACTCTGAAATCAAGAACAGCTAAAGGTGAAGCTCACACTGGTATTTATATCTTGTTTGTCTGTACTGAATTAGCTAGCTGACCTTTCCTAAACATTATAATGTCTAAGTGATTGAAGTGCAGGAACTCAAATTTTATTTCTCCTTGTAGGACATCTGACCCCTGTCTGGATGCGTTGTTTCCTTTACATTGTATTTCCAAGATCAGGTACTTTTATAGGTACATGGCTTCTGTATTGTTAAATAGAGGAATGGCGAAAATCTATCCGGGGTCACTCAGAAATGAATTCATAAATAGACTGCAATGCTTGGAGCTCACTATAATATATCACATTGCTTCACTCTATGCCATCACAGCACTCTTCCTTCTCCATAGTCAATATTGGAACAAATTTCATAGAATCACAGAATCATTTGAGTTGAAAGGGACCTTTAAAGGCCATCTGGTCCAACTCCCCTGCAGTGACCAGGGACCCCACAGCTCGACAGGTTGCTCAGAGTCTCATCCAGCCTGACCTTGCACGTCTCTAAGGATGGAGCATCCACCATCTCTCTGGGCATCCTGTTCCAGTGCCTCTAAGTTAAAGGAGTGAATCAACTCAGGTTTCAGAGTCTAAAACTTCGACTTCTGGCTGCCATTCCCTTAATGGGACTAACAAATAACAATCTCCATACTGTTACCACTGACATTAGGGGAAATTTACATTGCCTTCCACTCATCTGTCATTTGGAAAAACTGAGGACTCTTTGGGTGATGTGCTCTGGGAAGATTCCTTTTTACCAAGCAATCAAAAATGTTCCCAGTTCTTTTTCAGACATCGATGGATTTTTTTCAGTACTTTATGGGAAAAAGATATAAAATTAAATGAAAGCTGCATTTAGTTAAACAGCTGCTTTTAAATCCCATTTCTCCCATTTTAATGAGAAGCAGCCTGTAAAATATTTTGGATAAATATTTTGAACAAATAGTTTCTTTAAGATGTGGAATTGCTAAGTGGTTTTATTGTCTACATGAATACTTGAGTACCAGCATTTCCTCTTTGAAATCCTTATTTTCTGTTTAAAACAGTTCAGGGGTTTCCATGGGCTGTGGGGTCTGTCATGAAATGTGCTGTATGGTCCAGGCTTTACTCTTTACAAGCTGGCGGATGGATTACGAATAGAAAAAAAAGAAAAATCTATATTTGGCAGAGAAGATTTTAGCTGTTGAAGTGAATTCCACTAACCTGTTGTAACATTTTGATTTCTGTTTTGTTTTATGTTCTGCACGAATGTGTAAGTTTCCAATACACCCAGGATGTGGAGTAGAGCACAAGTGATTTTTGCCTTACCTCTCTGGGACGGATAGCTGTTGATGAGAAGGTACTATATCATCTCACTGGTATGGTGGGGAAGAAGAAAATTGAATGGGAATTGTTCCGTAAGTCAGGGGCACCCTTGGGAAGACATGTCTGCACATTGAAAAGTCATGCCCCTACCTTTCCCAAAAGAGAAAAATAAATAGTGATGGCACAACATGGCAATTTCTGCTACATTTGTATTTAATGCTTTCTCTTCTGTGCCCTCTTTACTTAGCTAGAAAGCATTCTTCTCTTCTTGGGCTGTAATTATGAATGTGTTTTGTAGGTTTTCTCAAATGAAAAATAATATTTGTACTTAAAGTTTATGCCTACAGAAAATATTTCAAGCTATTAGTTAAAAAACACAGGCTCTTAGGTGTAATGTGCACTGCAACTCAGTGTGAGCTTTGGGAAGGTGGCATTAAGGCATGATGTACAACAGGCATGGATCATTTTACCGCTCTTTGACCTGGTGAATGAGTTGGGAGAAGTGCCTTTTGTAGAGCCTGTGTTAAGCCTCAAAGCTGTCCTCACGTGAGTTATGCTGCAGTGAAGCACTAACTGGGCACAGACTTCAAGTCAGGCAGTTGGGTTACAGTTTGAGATCTCTGCAGGATGTGAGAGAGCACGCCTTGAGAAGCTGGGAAAAGCGCATGGGAATTTTGGAAGAGGGCCTTCTGTGTTTTGTTAGGATTGCTCAAGCAGTGAATATTAATTTCATTGTGCCTCTAACAAGCTTGCACCCAGACAATGTTTTTCCAGTTGTAGAGCTGTGTCTCTTCTGAGTATCCGAAGTCCAGAGTGCTGCCCTAGGGGCCTGGCTTAGCCTGAGGCTGCTCTGAGAATGCAGTGACAAATTTCAGTGTCCTTAGGACAGCTCTCACTCAGCACAGAACAAAGTGGAGGCTGGGAGAAGAGGAGAACTCAAGCAGCGCTCTCCTCCCAGTGCAGTACCAGGGCATGTTCTGGGCTTTGCCCTTGTTTATAGTTGATGTAGCAGCAAGAAGACAAGGTGCCATTAGCTTTTGGTTGAAAGGTCATACTGAAGTTATTTTCCTTTAATCTGAAGTACTTCAACCATAGAAAAGCAAAATAAAATTTAAACATCTGCTCTAAGCAACTCCCCTCCCCTGGCTGTATCACAGAGAATGAAGTTAAGCATTGAATTATATATAGAATAATTATTGCAAAATTGCTCAGACTGCTTTTCAGTCGCTGGTGTCAATTCTTTGTGTGAATGAGAATGAATTCTGTAGAAGTTTAGGAAAGGTAGGAAATGATCCTATAAATTTTAGTTTGCCATTAACCAGATGCAAATGCCATTAACAAAAAGCCACTTTAAATCAGTGCAATGAAGACGTGTTTATTGTGAAGAATATGGATAATCCTGTCCCAGCTAGTAAGTGTCTTGGGAGCATCAGATGTGCTGCTGAGCTCTGGGACTGTCTGAGATATTGCTAAGCCATAGGCACAGACTTTAGATAGGAGCTTTCACTGTCCTAAATACAAGATAATGTCCAGTAGGCTCAGCAACACAGAAAAAGGCTTTCCCTCACGTATGGGATGGATGAAGGAGCATACCTTGTTATTTCAGCTTAGCTGCAGAATGCTCCTTAAGCTGCAGGAACCCGACTGTGTGGCCGAGCCTTTGTGACTTTGAGCATAAGCTGATGGGGTTTGCTGAGGCAAGGCTTGCCTTTTGAAAGAAATGCTAGCATTTATACGTGTGCTAAGTTTCAAGTGCCGTCAGTACTCACACTGGACTTAGGTTTATCCTTTGAGGGAGTGAACAGTAAAGAAGAAACAAATCTAGTAGAATAGTCACCTGTGTGAAGGTAAGGTGGTTCAAAAATATTTGCTTAATCAGGTCTGCGGGTTCAAATAGGTCCCGTGGCTATTTTATGGCTCTGGCCATTTTACTTGTTCATTCTGTCGTGTAATTTTATTTTAACTAATACATTGTATAAAATTATTTTCACATTTTATTCTCTGTTGATCAGGGGAAAAATAAGCAAAGTATCTGTACAATGTTAACATGAATATTGACCGCAAGGTGAACAGGACCCTCTTTTTGTCAGAAACTTGCTTGTCAGCATGCTGGTGATAGATCAGATGTAAAGAAAATCACTTCTGCAAAACCAATTTGCTAAGGGACTTGTAAAATCCATTTTTAAAAAGTTACTGAGGCGAAAAAGCAAAGGACCAGCCAACCACATATTTTGATCAGCTCTTCAAGGTCAAGAACTGCTTACTAATTCATCAAATATCTTACTGGTAGCACTGTTTGAAGAACAAACAACTCTGTGCAGATGTTCTACCTAATAACTCTAATACCATGGAAAGGTGGCTAGGGTAGAAACAAACAGAATTTTTTACTTACTTTTGGCAGTGCTACAATCATAGGAGCTGTGGTCTTCAAAGCATTGGCAGCCCAGGTCTGTACATTGTCCATTGCCATTACAGAAAGCAGGACAGCGGAGAATGGTAAGGATTTCCTCCTGGGTAGCAGTTGGCTGGCTTCCAACATGAAACACTTTACCTCTGTTCCTTAGCACTCGTCTTTCACACTCATTTTCCAAAAGCGCTATCAGTGCCCTTACCCAGGCCACATCATCCTTGAGCTGCAGATCTAACATGCATATATTGATGGCCTCATCTATCAGTTTTCCCAGGAGAGCCTTACACGCTAAGCCAATGGTGGAATTTGCAAGAATTCGGTGGCAAATCTCCTGAGCTTTGGCAGAGGTTAGGCCGCTGGGAGTGGGCCATCCCAGTGGGAGTTTTATCCGAAGCCCTTCAAAATAATCCTCTGGGAAAAAATAGGCAAAGCTTTCCGTGTCTGTCTGGCTTGGGCTATGCAGTGAGTGAGGGGCTGAGTATTCAAAGTAGTTTTCTTGTCTTTTTGGTCTTTGTAGTTCTTCTGTTGGCTTGGTAAAGTTAAGGGAACTGTTGTTTTTCATGGAAGCACGATGTGAGAAGGGTTTTAATCGCTCCCCGCGGCTACCTCGCTTTTTGACTGATTTAGGCAGAGATCTTTGATCAAAAGACTTGGGCGACCGTTCCCCATCATCTCTTGAAGCAAACTCTTTGTCTGAGCGAGTGACAAAGTCTGATGTAACATCCAGATATGGGATTGCGAAAGTGTAATCCACATTATCATAATGACAACCAGATTGCATCTGAAAGGCATTCAGCGTCTTTACCAAGGGCATGGACTTTGTGCTCTCCTTCTGGCACCTGCAGTAATTTTTCCTCCGCTTCCCTTCTGAAGATGCTGGAGTTTTGTCAAATAAACTCTTCCCTGGAGGTATTCTGGTTTAAAAATACAGCGAGATTAGAGGGAGGAAACTTTCAACAAATTGATCTACACTACTAGGTAAACTTTCTTTCCCCAAGGTTCAGGAATGTATAAATTCTCAGTCTAACGAAGTACTTAAGAAAATGCTTAACTTAAATCTTTGTTTTCTTTAGTTTTTTATGCACTGCCCTTCTTGAGTTGTTCTGTACATTTTTGAGCACTAAACTGGAACTTTTTGGTAACAGATGCTTAAGTGCTTTGCTGGAGCAATGCCTAATTGTGGGATGTCACTTTGCAGGACTTTTTCTAAGGTACAGGTTGCCCTTTGCATATCAGACATGAAATAAGGCTTTGGATTTGTCTGGAGTGTGACTCAGATATAGCTTGGGGAATGGAGAATATTTCCTCTAAGAGTTGGATCTCTGTGTCTTTTTCTTTTTTCTTGGCATACTTCATTTCTGTCCTCTAATAGCACTTTCTTTGAGCTTTTCTTTTGATACAAAGCAGCTTTCTTTTGATCATAGGGTTTGTATATCACATAATGAAAGGTGATTTTTTTCTCCTTTTTTTAATTTACTACCACTTTAATGATGGATGAACTTCTAGAGAGTTCAGTTTGAATAAACAGCAGTGATTGAAGTTTCTCTGGAAATTTCATGATCTTATTTGTGCAGTGCAAGAGGAATTCCTGAAGCTTCATAGAAAAAGATATGCTTCTTGTCTCAATAGTTGGCAGCACTTTATTTCCAGACAAATTTGAAACACTACCAAAAATGTAAATTATTTTGGCATCAGTTTTGTCTTGCAGCCAAAATGTAGAGGGTTCAGAAAGGTTTAAAGCATTTGTCAATATTGTAAGACAAACCCTAGATACTGTTGTAGAAAGCAGATTTGGCTTTATACAGTTTTGACAATATATATTGAAGATGGCATATGTGATGGGGATGTATGCCTTGGAAAGGCTTGAGGCCCTGAAAACCCCTGTGCTTTCTTACAGACAATACACTTCTACGAGCTAGGAAGGACTTCTGCAAAAGATAACAAACAAATGCTGCTTTTTGCTGTCCATAACCAAGGAAGATGTGAAAGCAAATATTTCAAGGCGAATTGGATGCTAATACAGAGCAAGAGTCCAAAGAGAATAGTCGTGTTCCTGATTTCTCTAACTGCAGAAAGTATGAAAAAAGTATTCTATCTCCTTAACATATGTGTTTTAAAATCCATCTCTTCCTTGTTCATGTGCTACTTAGAGACTGGGAGGCTCTGATGTTGTTTTATTGTTTAAATATTGCATCGGAAAGCCAATGTTTAAAACAGGTATGTTTTCGGCTACTTGGGAAAGGAGGGAGCCAGTGAAAAAACTGAGCTATCAGATGGTGAGCAATCATCCTAGCTTCAGGTGCTGCAGAAAACATAGCATGCTTTAAGTGTTATTTAAAATGAAATTAAAAGCAGCAGCAGTACAGTGACCCTCCAGGCTGTATTTTTTATTGCACCATTTCTCCGTTGGTGGATCAGAGACCGATCCAGTCACTCCTAGATGTAGTAGCAGCCTTTCCATTGGCTTAGTTGGTTTTTGAATCTGGCTCTGAAGAGTCCTTGAGACTCATCTTTGGCAGTACTGCAAAATTAAACTCGTTGCCCCACTTGCCCTTCTCACATAGCTGCAACTTCCCATACCTTTCCTGAAGGTACCCTCCATCACATGTGCCAAGCATTCCTTGCTGTTTTATAAGTGAAATCCTGTATGTTCTGCTCTGGCTTCTGATTTTTCAACAAACTTGTTTTGAACAGCTGCTCCCAATACTCTTGTTAACCTATCTTCAGGTAGAAAGAAGTTTGTCATTCTTGCACCAAACTGTTTCTCCTTTTGCCTTCCCAGAAGCAAGCCCTGATTCATCCTCAAAGTTTTAAAGCACTAGAGATGGCTGTTGATTTCTAAGCAGCGCTATGTAGGCTGGTCAAATATATCTAGAATGTGGTTGAAGTATTTGCTCATTTTCTGAAATGCAGTAAGTCTAAAATTTGTTGCATTTATTGTGTGCTAATCTCACATGCACAGATTAAGTGGCACATTAAGTTGCATACCAGACTACAGTTAGGATTTGATCCAACTGTGCCAAGTTTTCACACACATGCTCTTCCCATATTGAATTGAAATGACTATCATGGCACGAGCTGATCTTGAGATATCTTCACAAGTAAACATAACTGGCCATGTCCACCTTATTTGTTTCTTATTTGAAAAACACACTTCACAAGCAAACGTACACATCCAAAAAAAAAACCATTTCACTTTTGGAAACACCTTTTAGGTGTGTTTTGAGTTCAGAAATATGGAATTAAAGTGTGGACTCCTGATTTTGGTTCCAGACCACCTCTGTCAGGAAGTTCAAAGTTTTAGAACCAACCATCATCATCAGTGGAGTAGATACTAACTTTTAGCATGATACATATATTATCACACTCTGTCAAAATGTAACATTTAACCTATACTCACATATTGCAATTAGTGTTCAGGAATAAAAGAACAAGGGAAATACCAAACCCTTAATTAATCCCTATTGTCAATTATCTACATTTTCCACTGCAGGTGAGAACTGCATCCTTTTTTAACAGCTGAGTGGGATCTTAACACAGCTGTTAACTTGACATGACTCGTGAATATAAAACTTCTCCTTGGTAACTGCTGATTCTCATTGTGCTGACTGAAAAACCAGCCACCATGCTGCTTGGATGATAATGGGCCTCCAGGCTTTCCTCGTCTGATGAAGCTGATCTCTATTCCAGGTAATTAGGGGTGTACATAATGAAATAAGTGTATCAGCATCCTGGAATAACTGCTATAGGGCATCTCCCAGCCTGTGATCCTTTCTCACTTTGTACCTCCACTCCTCTATGAAGTCTTCCTCAGGCACACTGTTCAAGTCGTTGTGACCGATCCCATCAAAGAGGCCACACAAACCTCTGGTGCTGTTGAAGTCACTGCTTGGTGTCCTCACTGTCAAGCCCATTCCCCACTCGCTCACATCGGCTCGAACGAACGCTCCTGACGGGAATAGGATCTGAAGAGACAGAAAAACACAGTGAATTGAAGCCACTACTGAGCATTTTTATGCAATAAAAAGCGTCCCTTTCTATAAATGAAAATACCAAAGCAGAAACTTGGTGATGCTGGTGGTTATTTAAGATCACTTACATGCATTACGACTATTTATTTGTGCTATTATTTAACTTGTTTTCAGTTCTCATGTTGCTACCATCTGACAGTGTTACACAAACATAAAGCCGCGTAAGGACTTTCTTTTTAAAGCAATAATTAAATTCTTTGAGATTTTCCCACTGGTAAGTTACCAGATAATTTTTAAGCAACTTCCATGACAATAGGCCACCCTCGTGTCTTTGCCAGGAAATCATTTCTTTAAGATAAACTGCCAAGTATTGAAAAACAGCTTTCTTCCCTCTGAAAAATCGTTTCATTTTCCAAGGCTGGATTACCCAGAAAATGATTGTGTTTTAAAGTAGATAAAGCAATTTTCTCATTAAAGAACTTCTGGTAGGCTTATACTGACCTTTAAAAGAAAAAAAAATTGTGAGGGTAAGACAAAGGAGTAGCTGTGCAGATAATGGATTTTTCAGATTGGTGGTCCAAACAAATTTAAAAAAAAAAAAAAAAAAAGAACAAATCTGTTCAAGTGCATTGTATTTTTGTTTGCTTGCTTTATTTTACTAGGTTAGAAGAAAATGATTGTGAAATTGATCCATGCTGGGAGTGGGAGGAAGTTCTCGATCCGGATAAGTAACCTTAGTACTTTGATCCACAATTAAATGTTACCAGTTAATTTTGAAAAACACATTAAATGGTTGGAAACATCTCATTACAATGATTTCTAAATATCTTAGTTTTTTTAAATCACTCCTGGCTGACAATAATTGATTCAGCCAAGTAATGCCCATTGCTTTTTTCTCACTGTATTTTTTTGGTCCTTTATACTCTCTTCCAAACTGAACCTATTAATATCTGTGAGAAGTGAATAACTTCTGTGCTGGAATCCAGATTTACATTTTGGCTGCAATAAATAACAATCTTGTTCATTTGAGCTTCTCAGCCCTCATTTCAACCAGGAGAACACTTTTGTGGGGACCTGGCCGTATGTTTTGTTTTCCAAGGGAACTTAAAAAGCCAATTGTTTTAATACATAGAGCAGAACAACTGCAGCTGACATAGTGCTGGGCAGTGCTTATTTTCCTCCTTTTGAAAAACCTTTGAGTTATGTGCTTTCCTACTGGGATGAGCATCTCCCACAAGGCTGTCTATGAAATCCTTAAGGTCAAAACTGCTGTTTCAACCTTCTGTGCTGTGTGAAGGGGTATTTCCAGGTGGATTTATTTTCAGAAGTCCATAACCCTTCCTTTCTTGCTGCCCTTGGGCAAAGCAAGCCATCTGCCAGGAGGAGCTGGCCGCAGCCCGGGTTTTCTTAAACCACCTGGATTTAAAACTGCTGGCAGGAACTCTGAAGAAGATTTTTTTGAGACCTCAGCTTAAAGAGAAGAAGGTGATGGGCTGCTGAAAACCACTGCAGAAAGGAATAATGCTAAGCAAATGGAGGTGCACTGCTCATAGTGGTAACTCAGGGACCATATTTGTTGTATACAATTCCATTTAGATCAGGGCAGCATTCCTATTCACATACCAGAGGTGTCCTAATTTATTTTAAACACAAAAGAAATCAGTGGGACTTACATGAGGTGCAAATGAGGACAGGGTTTCTTACTACGATTATTCTAGTAATAAAACAGTAACTGTATTGCATTCAGTTGCAAAATGAAATGTCAGCTTGCTTTCTGCTTTTTCTCTGTTCTGTAATTAACAGACTTTCAATTACTACCTCATCAAGATCTTTTCCAAGAGATTGCAAGGACAGCCAAACACAGGCACTCCCTGGCAGTGTTCTGGCTCTGCTGTGAACCTATCTTCACCCAAAATATCTCCTGGCAATAAATCTTGATGACAAAATTTTAGGATAAAATGATCTTCCTGGCTGTAATTTCCCCCGTCTTCTCCCCACCAAACCCCTTGGTACAGCCCACTCTTATTCTTCCAGTGATTTCACTGGATTAGTGTGAAGAAATGATACTCATGCAAAATTTGTTATGGTTGGATAATGTTTTTAGGCAAATAATTTAAATTATAGCAAATGTTGCACATTTGCTGCCCATTTTCATGGCTTTTGAGTGCTGTCTGTATCTGGCTAACATTGCCTTGCTCTTAGTCTAAGACTGCATTGTTTTACCTATGAACCTTACTTCAGTATCTATATCGTAAAGCTCTGCAACAAAATTTGCATTGTGGGTTCAGTAGTACCTAGCATGAGGGAACCAAGAGCAGTTTGGTAAGCAACAATATTGGCATTTTGATGCGTCTCTGAGAAATTTCTGGAAATCCTTGTTTTGTTTGTTTTACAGTTGGTTAAACCAATGCTTCCACCAGCTTCTTCCCCGTGTCACATTTTCCAGTACGCTTTGCTGCAGATGCTCTCATGGCTTCAGATGGATACTTTTCGCAGCAGCTTCGTTAATAATTCAGAGATATTAAACTCACGTTTTCGACAATGACAACAGGAGTACTCAAATCTCCACGTACTGTTATCTTTCTCCCTCCATAGGACGTTAGGATTTTGACCTGTGGTGATGCCTCAGTACTTTGGATGTTGACCCGCGGCCTGCTGTCCCGAAAGTGCCCATTGCAGGCATCCAGGCGGACGACGTCGCTCCCTTCCCATGCAGCCACCCCACAGTTGCAGGCAGTGGCAGAGTGGCGTCCCCCACAATCCCACTGACGGACGTGCACTTCGAATGCCCGCGACGTGCTCTGGCACAAAAGGAAGGTGCCAATTTTGTAGTTATCGTAATGCCTAAAGAAGAAGAAACAAAACCAGAGTTTAGAGACCCATTGTATCTATGTGGAGCAGATGTAACGAGCCCTTCCAGCACCTGCCTTGGAGGGGCCTGGACGTGGAAGCATCTCTCCAGTACCATCAGTAAGGTGATGCAGTCGCTGTTATTAATTGGGAGTGTAGAAGAATTCTTGAGAAAACCTGGTTGCTGTCTGCAAGCTGCTGCTATGGCAACGGGCATGGATAAAAAGGATAAACATTTGAAAAAAGCAAATGGGAAGAAGTTCCTGCTCCCAGGACTTTAAAAGTATGTTTTGGTTCTAACTGGATGCTATACAGCATGATATTCTTCAAAGAAAAATCAGTGTACAGATAACCTCATATGCGACTAATTACTAACTTTTTCTAGTCTGACTGTGGCTGGGCATTTCATGTGAATCGCAGAATCATAGAATGGCTTGGGTTGGAAGGGACCTCAAGGATCATGAATCTCCAACCCCCCTGCCACATGCAGGGCCACCAGCCTCCACATTTAATACTAGACCAGGCTGCCCAGGGCTCCATCCAACCTGGCCTTGAACACCTTCAGGGAGAAGGAGGGGCTACTGATGAAAGCCGTTGAAAACAAAGTTGGTTCCCCTCCCAACAACTTCACTGTAACCATTGTTTCCTCTCTGAATGGATTGTCAGCCAACGTACTGCATGATTTGGAACAATCCTCTCATTCTTCTCTCTATGAAATTCCTTGCTCTACCTGAGCAAAACAATTTTGCAGGTGTTTCCCCTCTGCGCAGGCCAGATACAACTTCTAAAATAGGACTTGCAAGAGCATCCTTCTCTCCTTGTTCTTCTGTTTCCTCATACCGTGATCTTGTTTGACTGTTACTCTACTTTATTGCCATGTGATGTTTAAAAGTAAAGAAAATAGGGGCTGTATTTTTTATATATGTGGTTGGAGATTTCTCCACATAAGCCAACAGCTGCCATCTGTGAAAGCAGCGGGTTCTTCTGCTTCCTTTTAAGGCACTGCTCTTAGTTTTAAACTTCATTTTTAGGAAAATAAGTATAATGGAAACTAAGTCATAAGCATTTTTGTTTTTTTCCAGTAAAAACGAAAATGTAAAACTGAACATTAAAAGAAAATCAACCACTAAACTAAGTAACAGGATTATTTTTAAGCTATGTCATAAAAACATCGATAATTTTTCAGTCAGTGAATGCTTTCAATACAGATGAGAAAATAATTTGTTGTATTTTGGCTCAAGAACAAAGAATGCTTAACATGCATATATCTGCATTTTATTTCTCTCTAGAATGAAAGCCATAGAAAAATATGTACCTGAAAACGCAGCAAGAATTTAAACTCCAACTGCTTTTCTCTGCAAGAAACCACATTTGACATTATACTTCATCTTGAAAAACTTAGTGAAGTTGGCCGTAAAATGATATGATATTGAATGGTTTTGCTTCATCTTATTTTCTAATCAGTACATAAATTCTAAGTACGCTGTGCAGATGCTGCTGCTAAGACTGATTAGAATTAAGGGCAACATAAAAGATAGTCTTGTAAAATCAAGTGCATTTGGACCTCTACACTGGAAAGACTAGAAGCCAGAAATTTAACAAGGATCACCTTTCTTAGTTTTCTTCAACCAGACATTTCAACAGGAAGAGCCTAGAAGGAAGATGTTTAGAGAGGATGATGGAAAATAATGCATTGAAATGGCTGCATCCAGATTAATCAGGTATATCTGGTAAATAAGACTGTATTAGCATATACATTCCAGCAATGGGAGTTATTTACTGCTTAATAAGCGTTGACAGTGGACTGGAAGTCACAGTCCTTCAGTTAAGTCATGACAGATTGCACAGCACATAACAAACTTGCGGTGGTGTCTAAATTGGAGCTTTCAGCTGCCTTTGAATTACACAAATGGATAATTGAATGTAATCAGGTAAACTTTTGTGATTTTTATACAACTGTAATTGCGATAATGATTCTTTGGACAACATTTGAGAAATCAAATTGCAGACTTCTGGAGCTAAAATCATGAAGTTATTGGAGGTCTTGCAAAAGGGAGCTATGCATATTTTTGTGACCAGGCACTATTGCTTATTTCTAAATTACTCTTCGTAGTGCACTTCCCATTCTTCTTCCCTAATTGCCTATAGTAATGGGTGTACTGGATGTGGTTTCCTTCCTCCTCGTGTATGTATTTTGCAAAGAGTGCATCATGTTCCTGCCCTGAGGTGAATTCATGTCTCAAATTGTGCACTCAAACCAAGAAAGGAAATAAAAGTACTCCTAATCTTTTGTTATGTCTGTGAGATGCTACAGGAATTGTTTCTGTTGGTTTGTGATAAGAGGTACAGAACGAAGTATACAAAAACCTTACTATTAGTAGCATTAGAATAGCTAATGCAGTATGCTATCGCAACCAAGCTATCTTTATAATGAATTCACTTATTACTGGGACTAAAGTTTTTGCTCCAAGGTTTTGTTTATTTGTTGACACTTATTTGTTGACATATCCCTCAAGACTCCCTTACTTCTTGCAAGTAAGAAGTACTTTACTTTAGTTGTGACCCCAGGAAGGGCTTGCTGATGCTGAAGGATGTCCTTTGGTTTGAGAGCTTATCACTGAAGAGTGGCTGCGTTGTTCTCAGAGACTGTTGAGTTATCTTCAGCAGCCATTGGATGCTTGGGGAATTTCTACAGGCTACCAAGAAATAACAGTACTTCTGTGAGGGCTGATCATGACCAGGACTTATCTGTAGGCTACTGTAATGAAAGCTGTTAAAAATGAATGCCAGCCACAAGTATGAAGCCTTACAAGCCAGGGATTTTGTCATTATGAGGAAATGGTGTCATTCTTTCTGTTATAATATTGTTGGATGAGTTTGTGTGTGTGAGAAATCTTTAAAAAAGCTGTTGTTTTTTTTAAGGTAAAATGCAATATAATGTGAATGATATATATAGTTTGCGAGGAATATTTCCCTTTTTATATTCTGCCTTACAAGGATTTTCTCCATATTTAGTTTTAAGCTAATACTTCACTTCACATTTAAGAACCTACAATTTATGTCAGGAAAAGCTTTTATGTTTATACTGTGCCATAACTAATAATGAGGGCTATGCTTTTGCTTTACCAGGCTTTCACATTTGTTTAATTTAGAAGTTACTTTACTATAAATGGAAGAGCTCTCTCTGGATTTTAGCTAGTATAATTAATGCTGTTTCACACTGATGCACCAATATACAGAAATTGATTGTGCTTACATGAAAAATACAACACATTCTTCCTTGATTTCCCATCTTTTCTTTTGGTCAAAATAGTAAAATAATGACAAGATAAATATTTCTACAGAAGTATACCAGCCAGAAGCACACCAAAGGGAAGCGCTGTCATTAGAAGTGTGAGTTCAGTATTTCAGTTATGCGATGAACAACAAAGTATCTCAGATGCAGTGTGAGTTCAGTACATCAAATTAAAAACCACTGAAAATATATCTATAGATGTTACAAAATGAACTATTATTTGGAATCCCAAAGGTTGAATTTTTCTATTTTTCTGTCTGCTTCCATTCTTGCTTGCCTCCACTGTGTATTTTCCCTTCTCTTTGCCATCTTTTGGTGGAAAAATCAAAAAAGGTAAGCAAGCCTATGAAAGACAGGAATGTGTTTATGTTTTGCCTGAGTAGAAAACACTCCTACTGTTCTGCTTTTAGCAGTGTTCCCTATTTGCATACATTCTCTTGCTTTCCATATGACAGGTTTTTTCCCAGAACTCCACAGAGAGGATGGAAGAGGTGCCAGAGGCAACTGATGGCCATCCTGCCGCAGCAGCAGAGCTGTTAAGCTGACCTACAGGATGCTAGGTGGAGTGATTTCCCTGGATTATATTGCTCACTGGATGCTCTGCTGTTGACCTCAGAAGCAGTTTTGGTAAGTTCCCATCACATACTCTCTCATGACGAGGGGAAATGCTTCACTTCCTTAGCTCTGTGTCAGCATTTGTCTATAAACTGTCAATAAACTATAAGTTAGGACCTTGACAGATACAGGAATTGCATTCCCCACATTGTATATACAGAGTTTTAAAATCGTTCCTAACAAGTTTTTTTTTGGATAGGCACGCAGAGAAGTTGCTTAACTGACATCTAATAGGGTAGCATAATCATTACAGTAATTGAAAGAGATATTATTTACAGTAATAAATGGGAATATAAGTAGGAGTAATGGGACTGTGAAATGATGGGTAAGAAACTTGGCTGAGTATCAAGAAGTGATATATCTTAGTGAAATAACCTGGTTACTGAGGTGGCTCATTTAAAGCTACACTGGGCAGAGCAGTAATGAATGTCCACAGTGAAGAAACGTGTGGTTATTGAGGGGCCAGGTGTTCCTGGGTCTTTGCTGCCTTCGAGGCAGGCTGCCACAGAAGGATGGGTGCTCCCAAACTCCCAGTGCTCAGATGGAATTGTAAATTGCTTGGAAACATTTCTGTGTACTGTCAGCAACAGGATTCCATACTCAGCTGTTCAAATAAAATTTCTCTATATTTCTCTCTTCAGACCTTTTTTTCCCCCTGGAAGCTATGTAAAAATATTCTACATGTCTGAGAGCATTCCATTGTGCCAAGAAGTAATTTTATGACTTCCTAAACATGACGGCTTGTTAGGTCCCTGTCCAGTCCTGGCCCTAAATCAGAAGGGAATATTTTAGAACGCAAATGTTTAGAGAGTTGTAAAACAATGTTCTAACTTTTTTTAATATACAGAGTTGAAATAATGGCAGATATCAAGAAGCATGTGGATATTTGTGCACCACTCTTAGTTCTTCCTCAGCTTCTTTATTTAGAAATCAAAAGCTTGATCACATTATAGACGATATGCATCAAAGAAGGAGGGAAAATGCAAAGTCCCAAGTGTGCAGAAGAAATCTCTTGGTTGAGACTATTCAGTTTAGGCAATATCTTTGAGGCAATTGTGTAGCCTTTAAAGGAACCACTCTCCTCATTTAATCGAGAGATTTCCTCAGATTTAACGTCATTTTAGAGTTTATGTTCTGATAAATACATGCTGCTGCTTCCAGAGCATGCTGGATTGAAACTGGGACATTAGAATATCAAAATTAGAATATCACTCCTGCTGAGCCCCTGTGGACGCTGTGCTCATAAAGTCATTATCTGTGCCATTAGGAGGTTAACGGCAGAATGACTAAATGGAATGTGATCTGAAATATTAGTAACTTCGATTCAAACGTGCCAGATGCAAACTTTAAAAACTTTCTGTTACATTGAATAGCTAAGGTTCAGATTTTTATAAACACACATGGTACCACCTTTGGTTCACTAAGTCTCCTAGCAGCTTATGCAGGAGGACGCTGGAAAAGACAGAAGGAAGTAAAACTATTTTTGCAACCTCTTGCACACTTTCCCTGATATCTGCCCCTCATATTTGCCGAACTTCTCTTATCTGAGACAATACATCCCTTTTTATCTACTTTTTTCTGATTGTGACTGTGACTATCAACTCCGTGCAGAGGTACAGCTGCAGATTCAGTAAATCAAATAGATAGGAAAATACAAAAAAATCCTTAAACTGAGGGCATGGTTATCAGGAATTCCTAAATTCCTGGGAAGGATACAGGCTGTTCCCACATGTGGTCCTAGCATAGTGACATAATGGCTCACCCAGGTGGTACCTCTAACACTATGCCACCTGGAATAGAAAGACTCTTGAAGTCATCAATGACACTTTGTTTAAAGAGCAGTTTGGAGCCTGACCTTGGCCTTATGAAAATTATTCAATCTCAAAACCATTGCAGCTTCAAGATTAATCCAATTCCTGGTCTTTTATTAAAAAGAATATAAACAGCTGGAAGGAAACCATGTGTATTACTGAGGCACAACATTAATCTATATAAGCAGACTATATACAACACTCTTTTGATATTCTAATGTAAAACCAAATGCATGCTATATCCAGAAAGTGAAAACTGCAGTAATTGAGCCAAATTATTTCAAAGTAGAATACTCACCATCCATCAAACGTGATAATGTGTGGATCAGTGAAAGAGTAGCAGTTCCCTGTTGGGAGGTCCTGAACTGTGACCTAGTTAAAATGAAATGCGTAATGAATACAGTCTACACAGCAGTTTTTCTTCATTACCACTCCTCACAAAACATTAGGAGCAAGATTCATGTGTCAAGTACAAACTAAAATCTGACTTCTAAAACGTGATTGTAGGTGGGTGCAAAATAGGCTTTGCTTTCAAGCAACTGAGTTTAATCACATGCTGTATGGGAGTTCAAAGTGCTCCCATTCTATCCAATGTAGTGTGCTGGCTGGTGAAAAGAGAAGCTTTTCTAATAAACTTTTTTTGCTGGGAAGTAGATCATTCTATGAAATTATCAAGAGAGTAGAGTGCTCGTTAAATTGCACTAATTTTAATGCCTGAAGTGCGGTAGAAGGTATGCTGTAATTAAGTAGCATTAGCATATTTTAGCAATAGTCGCTGTCTGTCCCCTAGTTTGACCTTAAATTTCCTGATACAGCACACGAATGGCTGATTTATATATCTGATGTGCACATTATTGATTGGGTGCTGGTGGTGATGGTCCAAACTAGGTTGGTAGAGCTATCTGCATTTGGCACCTAACAAAAGAGGAAAGGATCTAAAAGAACAACGATCTTCAGCATAAACCCATTGTTACTTGGACATAAACTGGGCCATAGAGGAGACCTAAGAGTGCCGGTGACATGCAAGAAGCAGATGTGTCTATAAAAAACAGAGATTAGGCAAATCCCTTTGAAGTCACAAATCTGAACCTTGGGCCATGCTGGGCCTGCATAGCCTCATTCACTGGAGATGGCACTTTGTCAGGGCCATATACTCTACTATCCAGTTCCCAGAAATACAGAAGTGGGGTATACAGTGATTTGCAGTATGAAGAGCTCCCAGTCACACTGATAGAAGTGATGAAGTGTTATGGTTTTCCCATATCCAGCCTGCCAGCCTTATTTCTTGGTCAGGGCTGTTAATTCCTTGCTTGCTTACTGCCCATGAGAAATCCAGAGGTGCAATTCAGTTAGTACTGTCACAGTCTGCAGAGCGAGTAAGAAGAATGGCCACTATATCCTTGTGCAACCTTTTAGTGATAAAGCAGAATTTAGCTTTTAGGAACAGTGGTGAAATTAAATAAATGAATAAGAGTTGAAGATAGAAGCACAGTAGCTGATAAAATCCCTCACCTGAAGCAATACGTCATCTGTATTTCAAAATGTCCCTTAACCATCAAACAGAGACATTGCTTAGACACCCACAGGTGTCTGGCATCCCAGACTATTAAAGTGATTGTCTGGAGGAACGAAGGACTGAACAGCTTTTTGATCTGAAATCAATCGTATCATTTGTATTTACTGGAGTGAAGTAAAGAATTATCTCTGAATTTTCCCATTTTCTCCATGTCCACAACCTTCTCTGCTCTGCTTTTTTCTTGCATGGTAGCAGCAAAGGATACAAGTCTTAGTCACAGGCAGCCTTGTTTGCTGAAGAAATCATTTTTCTTTTCCCAAGTGTCTGAATTTGCCAGGATGTTCTGCCCACCATTTCCATTCCATTTTAAGATAAACAAAACATATTTGAACAAGTCTGAAGGACTAAATAGTATGTGGATTTTAATGTATGGATTTCTCCTTGATGTGTTGCAAGAACAATTTTACATTAATGCCTCTAATTAAGTGCAAAGCAGCAGTGGGAAAATTGGGGAGGAGGGAAAGTAGTGTTTATTATGTATCCATAGATCAAATTTTAACCGAGATGGATAGAATTTATTATTAAAATTGATTAATTCCATTCCACATTTGCTGCATTTTCATATTTTAATGGAAAGCATTCTTAAGTTACAAGAAAAAATATGAGTATTTGAGTGCACTACATTGAATTAGCTGCAATTTCTGCTCTAAGAATCCTTGAAAGTGTGAAAAAAGGCTGTGCTGGAGAAGACGGAATAAGCACATGCAAGGCATTTCACATTTGAAGACAAAAATTCCTTTGGTTTCATTATCTTATCCTACCATGAGTAAATCCACCAGTATCAGGGCAGTGGACTTACAGATTTAACTGGGGGCTTATTTTCAGTTCTTTCAAATGCGCCAGCGTGGACATGCCAGTGCTCTGAGAGTTGTAGCTGAGTCAAATCTACCTCCTTTCTCATTCCCCTGGGCTGTGGGATTATGGCTCTCGGAGCTCCCAGCTGTGGCTCTGATCAGCTCCACGGACAGTGAGCCAGCTCCTGCTCGTCACGCTTCTTGGCCAAGCTCCCTGTGGGGACGGTCTGCCTTGCCTCTGTGATTGATTCCCATTATCCTTCCTTTGGACATTTTGTGCAGGGATGAGTGAAGAAACGGAGTGGCTGTGTGTGTGGTGTCACGGTGATTCTTGGCACGGTCACAAATTGAACGTGGCTCTGCCAAGTCCCTTTCCTTCTTTCCACTTCCAAGGCATTGCCTTTCCTCTGCTTTTCTGGGAGCTGTTCTCCAAACCACTGTCTGCTTGCGTGTATAATTCATCTATTGGCCTACTGATGAGCTCACTAATAATGAAACCTAAATCTGTTGAAGCGAAAGGCTTCACCTGTTAGTTTTCATGGCATGTATAGAAGTTGTGTTGGTTTACAGTGGTCCCCAAATTTTTATGTTGTTAGGGTTTATCATTGCCTCGTTTTATCTGCTACGACACCTCCAATTTAAATTTGACACATTATTCAAACTATTTTAGGACCCCACCTTTACATCCTTCGAGGCGTGAGCCCTCCAAAGCACATCTCTGTGTCCAACTGGCTCAGCTCTGATGTGGCTGACGCGGTTCCCATCCTGAGCGAAGTCGGTGATGGCTGTCACTGTTAGTACAGCTGCTGCACAGCTGCCTTGTGAGCAGGGTGCCGGAACCAGATCCACCTGGCACGCTGAGAGGACAATGTTTGGGGGCCCCAGTAATTGGCTGTCTAAAATGAACATGAGCACCAAGTCTGACAAGAGGTATCCAAACAGTCACCCATCCCCATCCAACACAAATGTTTCACATTCCAAGACACGTGTTGAAACCAGATGGGTTTTTCACGAAGATGGTTATAATTGACTCAATCCAGCAACTCTTAGCACATTTTACTCTTTTTCTTTTCTTTTCTTTTTTTTTTTTTTTTTCAGTAGGCGGCATACTGAAACACACTGATGCTTTTTTCTTTAAACAGGTGTTAATATTTCTGGAATGAAAACCTTATCTTTAAGGACCCATGACCAGGAAATGAAGATGAGTTGTTCTTGTGACAAAGAAAGAGATAAATCTGTGCTTCTGGAAAACATCTTTCACTAGCTTTATTGTAACAAGGTATGCACTGGGAGTTATTTAATTTAAGATATAGAGAATTTTTGATCTGGAAAGGTAGGGTTTTCAAGTCATCTCTTAGTGAACTTTATATTCATCACAGGAAGATAAGTGCAGCACATTTGGATAAGTAACGGATTTTCTCTTTTACTTTTATTTGGTTATGTTAGATTATTGTGCTTTACTATCCAATCTGTAAAATATCAAGGTCATGAGGTTAAATTCACTAAAAATCTATGGAAATGCCACAAGTTATGATGATACTAGCTATTTAAGTATCTGTGATGGTGGTAAAGTGATGGGTACTAAGAAAAGTCAATATGGAAATAGCAATTCAAATCATTCACACAGCTTTGCACATTGTATGTTTCCCAAAGGAACCTCTTCTAGCAGCCAGGCTAGTAGTGTCATTTCCCTTGAGTCTTGATCCTCCATGCTAAGGTCCCAAGGAAAGGACAAAAGAAAAGAAAAGATTTTTCTTAGAATGACTTTGTTATTATTATTTATGAGGACCGAATCATGATAGCATGGTCTGTATTTTGGATGATGTCTATCTGATCCTCAGGAAGTCATCCAACATGAATTCTCTGGTGGGTAAAGAAAGAAATAGCCATCTTTCCAGCCTACCAGAATCCCTCTACTGATTTCAGGGCTGCCAGCATTTGTGTTGAGCATTTACTTTTCTGTTCCAGACCAATAATTATCAGCAGATAAGAACAGTTATAGAAATTGTGGCAATGGAATGAATCTGATATGAAAATAAGTGATTTCCATATAATTTTTCCAATTTGTTGAATTGCTTAATAATTTATAGGAGATGGCATTCAAATACATTAGGATGGTATATCTAATAAGATCAAATAATCAACATTTTACTCCTTATGGAAATGAACCATAAAGCCTAATTGAAATTAACCCTGTAGAGGTCTACAGGATCTGAACGAAAAGCCTGCAACCATTAATAGCATATTATCTCTCATTCCCAATCCTTAAAGGATGCCTTACATCTTATAGAAAAATCCTGGCTCATTTTCAAGGTTCTTGATTCAATTAAATTGGAGGTTTCCATGAGGAATAGTTATTGCCATTACAGCCTTATGAGCTCTGCTTACAACCCAGAACAAAAGTTTAAAATCAAAGAAAATCATCTTGTCAAAATAGCAGTGATAAACTTAACAGAGGCTGAACTTCAGTTGCTCTGCTGTGTCTTGGTATTCATTATGATATTGTCTGAACTTAGAGAGATATTTCCGTGCTTGTAATTAGCTTTCTTATCACTTATTCCCTACATAATTAACAGAATGGTGTTGTTAGATGGATTCAGTCAGACAAGGAGCTTTTCTCTGTTAATTTACTCAGTACAAATGAATCTCAACTGAAATTGTTTTTATTTTCAATTTATAACACTGTGTCCAACATTATGCTTTTCAAAAGCCCACAGCATTCTTTCAGATACACAAATGGACCCGACAGATAATAAAACCCGTGATTGTGCATGCACCCAGCAATATGTATCAATCCTTGAGTACGTACAGATATACCATTTAAAACCAGCTTAAGTGTGAAATGTAGAAACATCCTCAGGGTGGAGTAATGAGAGGTTAGAGTTGGTAATTAGTTTAAGCTACAGAAATGTGTTGACTAAACTGATGGAAATTTGCATCTTTAGTGACTAGGTCCTTCAAAGATTAGTTAATTGGTTGAGTTGTGTCTCTATCCCGGCAAGTCTTGGCAGCAACACATCATGTCCATTGACAACCTGAAAATCTGCTTCTGCAGATCCTGCCTCACCTCTTTCTCTCAATGAAATGCATATTATGGGGCTGGAAAAGACTGTAGCAAGGGATCAACCTCAGTCTGTAATACTCAGAAATTACATTGATTGTCTAAGTGACTAATTCTCATTTGATCCCTATAGGTGTGATTGTTGCTTGGAGTTCTCAGGGTTATCCCAGCACACAACAGCCTGCATTCTCAGCTAACTCCATATCATAGAAAATCTGTTCCCATGAGCTCAGCAAATGTTTGCATGGTGGACTGGCATAGACTATAAGCCAAGAGCAATATGGGGAAGGGAGCAGCACTGAGCCATGAAGAAATGCAAAGTACTCTGTGTATGAGAGCCAACACAGCTGCTGGAACCATAAGGTACTGTTCAGTTTAAGATCATTTTGTTATTATATTATTTGAATAATTTTTTTTTTTTTTTTTTTTTTTTTTCCCGTGTATTTGGCTAAGGTTGGGAAAGAAAGGACAGGAATTCAGAAAGGGAATAATATCTGCTCTTTGGCAATTTTTTATTTTTTTGTTTTTAAACCAGATTTTTGTACTTTAATCCTTTCTCTAAACATTTTTCTCTTGAACCATCTTTGGAAGAAAATTAAATCCCTTGTTAGAAAAATGGCTGGCTGTTTTATTTAGTGCAAATGGCAAGTTAAAATGTTCCCCTTGGTTAAGCATGATATTCCACCAGATTAACCTCGGAAAGCATATACCATTTAAAAGTGCAAGAGGATTTTCTAAATGGCATTGTCAACGTTTCTAAGTAAAAAAATACCGTTAGAAAGAGAGTAATATATTATCATAAGAATGATTTTTTCTTCTATATGGAGACAGACAGCAACTATAATCCAGAAGAAGAAAGAAAAAAGGCTTCAGTACACATTTAGTGAGTAATAAATCTGCAGGTGAACTTCTTATTGATAATTGATGATTTTTTTTTTAGCTGAGGCCATTGCTTCTACAAAAACTTAAAATGGAATATTATACTCTTAGAATTTTAAAAAGTTCTCCTATTCAGAGTTATTTCACCCATAAATCTCAGCAGACTGTTGTTCATACTGCCACTACTCGGATATTTCTGATGTCAAAAGCCTGAGTGATATCATCATCTATTTTACCTTGCAAATAGTTGGCTGATTTTGTGGATTTTATGGCCTCTGCACTTCCTAGTTATTAAAGCTTTATAATTTCTGTTAGATTTTGCTGTAACGGAAATGCAGGAAAAAAAGTAATCACATTGATTCATAAGACTCACCCAGATCCTCAGTACTGAGGCGTAATGTGATTTTACAGGAATCGTTGTGCCCAGAACAGGTAATGGGCACAGTGCTCAGGATGGTCAAAACGTGCTCCTTGCCATCTTCTGCAATTTGTAACGATTCTGGTAAAAACTGAAAATAAGAAAATCATTTTTAGATCATCTTGACAGATTAATAAGGCAATATGGATATTTTTGAAATTTCGCACGTTTTTAATCGTCAAGATAATTGCTTTTAAAATAACAATAATCTCCATAATAACAATAATCTTCAAAACAATCATCTTCAACTTTCCAAAGGTAAAATTGTTGTTAAAATGTTTTAATACTCTTTGAATTTTTTTAAAAAATATCTTTCTGCTTATCATATGTAGTGTACAATTATTTCTCATTTCCTCATTTCGAAACAGGGTTTTACTAAGACTGAAAATAGTGTACTACCATAGAATTTGTTCACATTTAACATCCTTGGTTGACAGGAGCTCCTACTGCTGTGCACTGAGAGAAATACCTGCAGTATTCATAGCCTGAAGTGCAGCATTACCTCTTGATTATGCACTCTATATTTGTACTCTGTTCCAAGTGCAAAGTGAGTGCATTTTTCACCCAATTCCTCTTCTCTGCTACGGCAGGAAGAAGGATTTCTCCATACATAATGTATTGCAGCTTCAGGGAGAGAAGCTCGGGCTGAATGGTTCCTGCATGTCTGTTCTCCTGGGGCAGGAGCAGAAGCAATACTTCTGCCCAGGCAGAAATGAGGATTCCCATTCCCTGTGAAATTTGGATATTGATAAAAAAAAACAAACCTGCAACTGTTCATAGAATTAAAGAATCACAGAATCGTTTTAGTTGGAAGGAACTTTTAAACGCCATCTGATCCAGCTCCCCTGCCATGAACAGGGACACCTACAGCTCCATCAGGAGCCCCCTCCAGCCTGACATTGAATGCCTCCAAGGACAGGGTATCTACCACCTCTCTAGACAACCTGTGCCTCACAGCCCTTAACTGTTCTTCCAGCATTACACAGAACAGGCTTCCAGATTTTCCAGATCCCATTCCTGCAGACCTCAAGTTGGGATATTCAAATATCCAATTCTCCAGGACTGCCAGACTGACAGTCCCATCCTTGGATAGGATCAGACCCAGACTTTGTACTGATTGTGACTTACTCTCAGCAGTTACATTCTTTGTAGTGCCTGGCCATAAGGGGGCAGTAGATAAAAAGTCTTTATTTATAAATAACTTTATTCATGTAGTTCTGATGTAGTTGGAATAAAATACTGCAATTTGTAGGTGTGGCTTCCATTTATACATAACCACAGAGTACTTTGGGGCATGTTTACTAGCAGATGTAGTTGTGCACATTCTCTGTGCTGCATTAGTGTCAACACCTGCACGTTTCTCTGATGAGCGCTCCGGGGCGTTTTGCAAACAGACTGAAAGCCCCACAATTTATTACGACATTTTTTCTCAAAGTGAACCTAAAAGCAACACTGGTTATGACCAATGTTTCTGTGCCTTGTTTTCCAGAGCGTGTCAGATATTATATAAATGTTCCCCAGGGGTATGCTGAAGAAGTCAGTGAACCAGGGTCAATGGCATTACCTTAATCCCAGTGTAGAAACCTTTGCTCTGCTCAGGCAATGACCGCTGCTCAGAAGCGTCCCTCGCAAATGCAGTCACAGTGCAGAAGACCTGCATTAAACAAACAGTGTCAACAGCGTGTGCTATTGTTAAACAAAAATAATATAGCTACGTATATTCCTGTTCATCTGGGTTGTAGAGCTTCTTTTTTCTCTCTCTCATTTTTTTTTTTTTTTTACCATTGAAAAAGATTTTGGAGGCTTAGGTGTTGAAAATATTTATGCATAAGCTTTGAGATCTCAAAGATTTTTTGATGTCTGTAACATGCAAAGAAACATAGCTTCCATCTCAACAATTAAAAACACTAAATATTAAAATACACGTGACCTGCAGCAAGGGCATTCTATACCAGTCCAGATACCCTACTGAAGAGCTAAGAACTTTTTTCAGTTATCCAAACACCTTGTTAGGGTTTTAATATTAACCCATTTTAATTAGGGGGAGTTGCGCTGTTTGTGGGTGTTAAGTTCAAGTTTAGGACATTGGCCATTGAGATCATGGAATCACAGAATTGCTTGATTTGGAAGGGTTTCTTAGAGGTGATCTAGTCCTGCTCCCCTGCAATGAACAGAGACACCCACAGCTCCATCAGGTGCTCAGAGCCCCATCCAGCCTGACATTGAGTGTCTGCAGGGATGGGACATCCACTTCCTCCCTGGGCAATCTATGCCACTGTTTCCACTACCCTTATTCTAAGAAACTCTTTCCTTATATCCAGGCTAAATCTTCCATTTCAGTTTGAAACTATTTTCCCTTGTCTTATCCCAACAGACCCTGCTAAAGAGTCTCTCCCCTTCTTTCTTACAGCCCCCCTTTAGATACCGAAAGGCTGCTATCTGATCTCCCCAGAACCTTCTCTTCTCCAGGGTGAACAGTCCCAGCTCTCTCAACTTGTCCTCGTAGAGAAGGTGTTTCATCCCTGGGATTCCAGGCTTCACTGTTTTTAAGTGTTTGGGTTTTTTTTTTAATTTAAATTAGTTTGACAGTCATCCAGACTCAGAAACAACGTCAGCAATAGAAGAAATTGCTTTTTTCTTATTGCAATAAAAAGATGATGCAGATGTACCCGTGAGGTTTATAGTGTAAAAATAATAAAATAATTTCCCCAAAACAACAACAAAAACAACCCCAGCAAACACAATGTGCTGTGCCATGCCATTTATGTCTGATTCCTAGCACAGTCACGCAACCTTTATCTCTGCTGAGCCCATGCACCATCTGCCATCTTAATGTTTCATTACTTTCACGAAACCCAAACTGCTAACATCATTTCTAGGATCATAAGATTAAACTACAGAAATTTTCCTTACAGCAAACTTACAGCAGGCTCTGAAACTGTAGCTCTCATTTTTTTGGGGACCTTTTTTCTCGGAAATGGAATAAGAGCTTGTGTCACAGTAAATCAATACCAAATGGTCAGATGGCATATTTACAGTTGCTGTCTCTCTGAAGCCTCGGGTGACCCATGAAGAAGCAGCAGAGTGATGTGATTTACTTTCTGTGGTGAGGAGCTCCTTTGGACAGATTCTAAGGCTCTTCATGTTTCTCACTGGCCATCTCAGGCACTACTTTCATGGCTGGAGCCAGCAAAACCAATGTAAAGCCAAAACATTTCCAGGTTCACATGACAGACTCTTTAGCAGGGTCTGTTGTAATAGGAAAAAGGGAAATAGTTTCAAAATAAAAGAGTGGAGATTTAGATGGGATATAAGGAAATAGTTTTTTATATTAAGGGTGGTGAGGCAGTGGCATAGGTTGCCCAGTGAGGTGGTGGATGTCCCATCCCTGGAAGCATTCAAGGTCAGGCTGGATGGGGATCTGAACACCTGATGGAGCTGTGGGTGTCTCTGTTCATTGCAGAGGAGTAGATCACTTTAAGGATCCCTTCCAACGCTTATGATTCAGTGATTCTGTGATCCTGTGGAAAGGGGCTGCCCACTGCTCTGGAGCATTTCCTTCTCTGTTGAAAAAATCCTTCTTTGTTACCTCAAAGTTATGGTTCTCCTCTAAGCTGGAAAAAAAGCGATGTAAGTCTCAGAAATGCCTTAAGGTTAGAATCCCTTAGATATCATGTTGTTAACCAGTTTGCCTCCAAGGAAGAGAGACGTGTGTTCTCCTTCAGGTAATCATAAAAAATAGCAAATATAAAATAATAATAAAAGCGATAAAAATTATATTAAAAAAAAAAAAAAAAAAAAAAAGTGTAGTAGTCAGTAAGCAAATCCAACACACCCGCATTGCAGATGCTGTATTTACAGCTGCTGTGCTGTTTGTACTTTTCTGCTTTTTACCGAAAATCTTCAAATGGAATCACCTTGCTACACACACAGCAGTGCAGGTGGGGGGCATCTCCCAAAAAATGGGCAATGGGTAGACCCAGCCCCATTCCCTGCACGTGCTGTGTATTCTCACATTGTAGAAGAGAGGTGTGTTTGATAAAAAATCTGAATCGAAAATAGCTCTGTAAAGATGTGCTGAGATATTATTAGACTGTCAGCTCGTTCTAGCTCTACGTACTGCAAGTGAGCAGAGCTTACCCAACTCTCAGTGTACAGACACCCATCACGAGCTACATTTCATTCCTGTCTTTCTGTCGCGCCTCTGCTTGTACTGCCTTTACCTCTTGAGGTGCTCAACCAGCCCATGTGTTTATTGGCTGCGGAGCTACAGGTTGACAGTTTGTCACATCATTATTATGATAGTCACTGCGAGGGTTTTTTTTTTTTTTTTTGCCTTCAGCTAAACACTCATTTTTCTTCAGTTCAGTAATCAACTTCTTCTTTCTCCTTTTTCCCTTCTCCATCTATGAATGCTGCTTTTTTAAAGCAAAGAGATAAAAGCAGCACTGACAGCCACATGCTAATGGCCATGACATGTTAGGCAGTAGCTTTCCACAAACTCAACAGATCTGTTAAAAAAAAAAATAAAATCAAATAATATTTTTTTTCAGCATCCCCGTTAAAGGGACAGAGTTTAAGGGTGCCCTTGATAACTTGATCCCTGCCAGCTGTGGGCTGCTCCTTCTCTGTGTATCTTCCTATAGGGCAGAAAACTACGTACAGGCACAAATTCCTGCTAAAAAAATGCCTTAATAGAAAAGAAATGTCTTATTTCCTGTGCTTTGGAGCAGGTTTATGCCTTTAAGTGGACTCAGGTTTCTTCCCACTTCACAGTGAATCCTGTGAGCTGCATACTCGGTGAGAAGCAGAATTCAGCCATTGATTTGGTGGAGGTCGGGTAGCTCTGGGAAATGATTTGGGAGAGTATTTTAATTCTGGAAGCTGTCACCATCTTTAGCAAATTTCCCCTTAACTTCCACATCATCATACTTTTTTCAAAGCTTCTTGAGTGTAAATTTCTCCCAAATTTGTCCTTTCTACTCATTTCAAACAGAAAAAGACCCTTACATTTTACTCTTTTCCACATCTCTAATTAGTTCTGAATGCATTGCAGGAATCATCTATGGGAGTGTGAGCATGCAGTGAGAGCATCCTCTCAGAGTAGTGACACTTGTTCCCAAAATGAGGTAAGCTGCCAGGTTGGAGTACTGGGAGTGGATGGAAGCACGTTTCTGACCCAGACAACCAGTCTTGTGAGATGTGGGGGAACTGATGCTGTTCAGGTTGGTAATTAATGTTGGCCATCTGTAGAGAGCTCTCTTTTCAAGATGAGGGATGAGCACTTGGGATACCTGTGCCCATTGACTGGACAGGGATGTCTGTGTGCTGCTGGTATGGCACAGAAGACTGAGTAAATTTTCCCTATTAACTCCAGAACTGGAGCAGCCCATGTCAAAAGGCAGGCAAGGGGCTGCAAGGTAGAGCCTCTCATGCACACTGGTGGCTTGCAAGAGAAGGATTGGCAGGGAATTGATCTTGACAGGTGAAAGGGTGTCTGATAATGGCCTGAAAGGCTTCCAGATGTCCTATTCTACTCAATTTAACGCCAATGGGCCAGGGCTGGATGAGTGGTTCTATAGGGAGCAGCTGTGCTTCAGAGCCTGTAAGAGGAGAAAGGAGGAGCAGAGCTGAAGTTAAGTATTCCAGGGGGAGCAGCAAGCTCCTCAGAAGCTCTGCTTGTCACTGCTTTACCCTCGTTCCAAGCCCACTTGGAGCTCTGTTTCTGTGGAAATGCTTTTCACTCTCTGCCTGAAGTTTCAGAAGCAAATTTTAGGATGAGGTGTAACCCACAAAAAGGTATTTTTTCTTATTCCTATTTCTAAATAGCTGTGCCAAGTCCAATGGCTGAGATGGGTTTCACACTTAAGCACTGGGAAAATTCACTCCCTTTTTTTCCTCAAGTGTGAAAATTTGCTCTGTTATATATCTAGGTACTCATTTATGGTCTTTTGGCTGGATTTATTTTTGATGTTTTGCAGTGTCCTACGAAATGCCCAGTCTGTTTAAGTAAATGTTTAAATAAAACACTTTTTTTTAATTACAATGACTATCATAGTTTATTGCCATCTCTGGAGGTTTTCAAGAAACCTGTGTTATTGAGGGGCATGATTAGTAGACATTTTGGGGATGATCTCCCCATGATGATGATCTTAGAGCTCTTTCCAACCTTAATGACTATATGATAGTTTACGTATGGTGACAATTGCTCCTCATTGTGCAAACTCTGAGATTGCTGCGCTGAGCAAAATTGCATAGTTTTCTTCTAAACACCTTTCTTAGCATAACTCATTACTCACAGTGTGCTGCTATAATTTATAGATGGCTGTGCCTCAAGGAATTAAATGACCTCTCTCACTATCGCATAAATAAGGCTTTAGAATGCCAGGATTTTTGTATCACATGGAGTAGGCTTCTTTCAGTGCTTGAATAGAAACAGCGGCATGTTATAGATTTATTTAAAGCAGCAATAGTTTCATGAATGTTATGCTGCCAACATTACTGTCTGAAATAACAAAACTGGAGCCAAAAGATGGAGGAGAAATGCACACCTGATAGCTATTAAAAAATAACTGGCTGTTTAGTCAATGCAAATTCAGAAACGTTGGCTGGTAAATCGCTACTCTTCTCTAAGGTTTGACTGAGTATTAAAATATATTGATAATATATGACTAACCCATTACTTGGGGACTTTCTGATAGATATAATATAGCTTGGATATAAATCATGAAAGTAATTAAAAAAAATAAAAATAAAAAAGGAAAAAATCCTTCCACTTACATCTTGTTTGCAACATCCTGGGCCCAAACCACATTTGAGCAGCAAAGTTTAGTTTTTGAGGTCTGCATCTCCCTATGGATGGCATTACCATTATTTCATGGTAGCCCTATCAGTGCTTATGGAGATACTTCAGGTTTACACCTCTGGAAGTGAAAAGAGCATCCAGCCTTTTGTGACTGTTTTCAGAAACCCTGGGTGGGATGGCAAATATGTACTTTTCTAAAATCCCTACTATCTAAAACTGAATTCCCAGCTTCAGCTGGAGCTTTGTTGTTTGGCTTTCAACAACGATGATTAATGGCTAACTGTAATTAATCAAAAAGGCTGCAAATTTTGTTTAAAAAGAATAACTAGATAAAAATTCTAGCAAGGGAAAGAACATTTTAGCCTCACTAAACCAGCTAAATTAAACATGTGGCTTTCAGGAGAGGACAAGAAGGGCTTACAGAAACCTTAATATAATAAAAATGCTCTTATAAGGATTTGGTGATGAAACTAGTTAGTAGAACTATATTTTCTCTGAATCCCTCAGGATTGTTAAATCTAGATTTGAAGTGATTACACGTGAAATTGCTTTGATGAAAATATCTCTTTGTAACACGAACTTGTCTTGAAAACTGGCATAATTTTCTGCATTGTGTTGTAATGTAAGTGAAGGCTGCATCCGTCAGATTCCGAACTCAGGAGGCATAATTATGAGGAGGAATAAGAGAAAAACCTATCTAGATTGTGCCATGGTTATAAATGATTCATCTCTTCAAGAACTGCAAAAAGCTTATTCGTTAACTATCTCAAAGAGGAGCTGTGAAATGTCAAGACTATTTCCAACCTACTTTTAACACAAGGCCATTATCCCTGTTTATTCTTTCAGTTCATTGTAGCATCACTAATGGCTATCTGCCTGTAAAAGTTATGAACCTAATTTAACTTTTAAAGTCTTTTTTAGTACCACGAAAAGGCCGTGAATTCATACACAAGTCAATTTTTTCCACATCTTGTATTGGCTTCAGCTTTGTTGTTGTTGTTGACGCTAGATCTGTGTTGTCATGTAAGCCATCAAATACACTTCTTAAAGATTGTTTTGTAATGAATTCTATCTCTCAGCATACTATTGAACCACAAATTTGGAATCAGAGAGGCAGAACACCATGAAAAAGACCATAAAAATAAACCTCACTCTATTTTAAAATGTACTGTCTTTCTCTTCTGTGAAAAGATGCTATTGTGTCTCTGGTCCACAAGTATAAAAATTACTGAGTGCATATAACTGCGTCTGTGTCTAGTGCAGACTCTTGCTGCTGCACAGTACAACAAACACTAAGATAGAACTGTCTCAGGCACATGTTTCTATTACTTGTACCAGCTTTATGGTGTTCAGGCTGTAATGGATGTGTAATGTTACCATTAGAAAACAGTAAAATGGACAGCTTCAACAAACACCGTGCAATCCGAAGAAATATTACGTGTCCTAAATCTGGTAAAAACTATATAAGCCTGTTTGAAATCAAGCTTTCATTTTGATATATTTTTTTTTTCACTTTAGATGTAAATGTAACGAGCGAGGAGCAGCCCTAGAATACACCCAGAGGAGCTTTCAGATCGGATTTGACCCCGCAGAGTGCCGGACCACGCGTTGCTGCATTACTGTGTCTCCCAGCTGGAGATGCCTGCTGCTTATCTCCAGGTAGGAACATGTCTGCAGGGTGGTGTCCTGATGGATCTGCTCCTGTTTGCCCGGGGTGACCAGACGTGACCAGAGCACCGTGTAGCTCAGCCCCCAGCTGGGTGAGCTGTAGGTGCATTTCAGGTGGGCGCGACCTCCTACAAGCTCGGAAGTTATCACTGGCTGTAAAGTCAGGCTCGGGAGTTTTTCTGAAAGGCAAAGCAGAAGAATTCAGTAGAAAACACTTTTAACATTAGAATCGCTTGCTCAACAGGAAGATTTCAATATAGCTAAATGTGAGAGAAATGCCACATTCATATTCTTGTGATTTGATAATTAACTATGTAAACAAGACACTGTATTTCATATGAAGTTCAAAGAGTAGCTATTTTGCTACTGATTGCCCATTGCTATAATGTTGTATCTGAGATATTGTTTTTTTTATTTTGCATTCAGAACAACATTATTGAAATGAAGCACACAGGTTAATACAAATTAATTACTTCAGCAAAGGCTGCCAGCTTTGCATTCCCAGAAGCAGAACCTTCTGACCTGAGTTTTTCAGTGAGTTACAGAAGAGATATGAGAACAAACAATGTTGCAGGAGTGAACTCAAATAGCATCCAACTCGTATCACTGCACAGTGAGGATCCTTTCCAGGCTGTGCTGGGACATTCCTAGGATGAGCTTGCTCAGTATAGTCTCACTCTGCCCAGAATAATTCTACTGCTCTAAAAATACAGCCTATTTCTATAGGCTTCGACAAAGGATGAACTCTGATAGTTTTCTTCCTCTTAAGGAGAAACAAAAAGATATTTAATACTGTAGGGTGATGTTCTCTCATCTCCAAGACTTGGACTGAAAGGGAACAAGAAGCTGGTGCAGGGGCTTTGAAAAGGTATTTTAAGAAACTTTTTTTGAAGGAGTATAGAGAATATTATGGAAGCACAAGGCAGTAAGGCATGAGGCAGAATGGAGAACTGATATATTAACACTTGTCCAGTGCTCAGTTGATTTCAGACAGTGTGTCAACATCCCTCCAGAACTTCAACTTTGGGTTCTTTCCATCCATTGCACAATATTCTGAAAGCATCCTTAAATCAAGAAGTTCAAGATTTACTGAAATATATGGAGGAAAAAAAAAAGAAAGCTTCAACACCAGTGGTAGAAAGTCATTGCTTTGGAATAGAGGGGAAAGGAAAAACTATCTAATTTTCTTTTTATGAAAAATGCAGGTGGATTAATGTTATTGAATAGGTATGGATTGGCAGAAAGTACAAAACTAATCACTGAAATGGTATTGGTAAAAAGTCTTCAAGTGTAGGAGAAAGCTCAGCTTCTTCAACTGAAAGCTTACTGAAAAATGAAGGTTTTCAGGTAAAAAAAAAAAAAATCATTTCTGAGAAAGAATCATAAAAATTAAAGAGCGGCTTCATTTACTTTAATGCCAGTTTCTTTTCTCGAAATAGTAAATTAATCTCACTTTCTTTAAGCCTTTTTTTTTGTCTTCTTTTTTCTGTGTGGGAATGTTAAAATATTGATAAAAGTAAGAACATAGTTATCTCACTCTTTAGAATTTATTTAAACTTGATTTTTTTTCTCATTGAAAGGCGATAACCCTATTTTCTCAATGTGTCATGCCTCTGTCCAAAAAATGCTGAAAGGGAATTACAATGGTAATTTTTCCTCTTTGAGGAAGAACCATCTTCTCTGACTAAATCTATATGCACCTGCACATGCTCTGAAGTTCAGAAGGCTTAACAGAGTGAGCAATTGCTTTCTGCTATTTCCTTTGTTTCCTAGTTACAGAACAGAGGTTAGATCCCTTGTAGTAGGCTGAAAATTATTTCTGATGAGAATAATTACATAGATGTCATGAAAAAGATTTTTATCAGATTTTTTTCCCTCTCAGAGTTTCAGAATTATCTTTCTGGGTGATACTGGGTTATTTAAGATAAGAACAAGCCTTAGAAACTATTCTGCATACAGTACCTTGTTATAACCAAGATGCTTCCACTCACTGGCTGCGCATCTTCAAGCCAAAATGGAGTGAAATACAGTAGGAAAGGTAACAAGTGATCTGTAACCACATAAGCTCTTCAGTAATACAAACCAGCTTCCATTGTGTGCTGGCAGTAACACCTATACCTCGGGAGCATGTAGCTGATTTATTTTCTACATGGTCTGCATTTTACTGGGAGTGATGCTTGACTGCAAGGTCACTGAGATGTGTACTGCAGTACCAGGACTTTTGAACAGCAGCAAGAGTAACAGAGACAGTCCTACTGATGAATGTTTAATTGATCCTCACCTTCTGCACAGTAGCCCATGCATCCTTGAGTCGGCTGCAAGAGATAAACAAAGAACTTGATGCAGTTCCTGACAGTGATGGGTATCCGGAACAAGCAGCAGTCCTTGGTGCCCCCAAAGACCTGCCAGGTAGCACAGGCCATCAGGTGCTTGCTTTCACCCGGAGCAGGCAGGGATTCAGACCTCAGTGACAGCCACACCGGAGCTTGTGTCCCACATTTGTTCATCTGAGAATGTGCACAAAAGAAAGAGTTTGTCGGAAGCTGGTAGGACTCAATGGAGAGCCACCAAGGACTGTGGTTGTAGGGGAAGCAGCAGGAGGCCACAGTGCTCAGGACATCCCACCAACACCTTAGAATCTTAGAATCATAAAGGTTGGAAGAGAGCACTGAGAGCCCCAAGTCCAACCCCAGCCAACCCCCACCATGCCCTCTAAACATCTCCCTCCTCATTTCTTGAACATCTCCAGGGCTGGTGACTCCACTATTTCTTTTAGTATCTTCTTGCAATATCTTGCCACTTTTTCTGAGCACAATTTTTTCCTAATATCCAACCTGAACCCTCTCTGCAGCATCTTTAGGTTACTTCCTGCCCTGAGAGACCTTACTTCAGATCAAATCAACTGCTGTTGCCCTGACAGCTCCTGCCCTACCTCCCAGGATGGCCCAGGCATGTCTTCGGGGCTAACCCTCTTCCTCATCCTTGAAAGGAAACGGATACAAGTGATGTATGTAAATTGCTCAAATTTTCTGTATTCTAATAGATTCAATTAAATCCACAGATTAGGTCCCTGAAGTCATTGAGTACTGCAACCAACCACAGCAGGAGGCTCAAGCATTGGAAAGGGCTGATCCTAAAATATTTAAAACTATGGCATTTTGGGTCATGGCTAGGAGAAGTTGCACCAAATGTACCTTTCTGATCTTACAGAGGGATGTTCGGGCATCTCAGATCTGATATGGGCAAGGACATGTGATTACCCAAAGCTGTCTTTAATTTTACTACTTCAACAAGAAGTTTAGGCAAAATCCTCACCGGATAAAATATTCAGAGTCAATCGCAGTGCTGCCTTGTTACTCTGTACTGTTACCCATCATTCACCGGTATGCAAAGCAGAGTGATATTTGAGTTAAGGTTTGCAAATTAAAACCAAACACCAGCAATAATCAATTCTCATATATTAGTCACATTCCACAGAGAGAGTGTCTGCTGCAGCCGCTTTGCATTTCCTCAGCCCAGGGTAGGGAACAATGCTATATCTAATTGTTCAGCTTCAGCAACATGCTCCCTCCTGCTGTGGACATTTGGCTACGCATCACATTGGAAAAAAAAAACAACAACCCAACCCAACAACAACAACAAAAAAAAACACAAAGAAGACTAACATTTTTTCCCATTTACCCAGCCAGCTTTGCTGCTTCACTTTTTAAGTTTTTTTTTAATTTTATTTTTAATGATAACTGTGGGAGCGGTTGAAGTAGAAAGACCAGAAAACAAGCTCTTCCACCTGTTCTATTCTACCTTGACCTGATTAAGTGACTTCAACATCTATGCAGGCATGGTGCCTCAGTTTCCCCACCAGCTGCCTGACCTTGGGCAACCCCTTGCTGCTGATGTGCCTTTGTTCCTTATCTCTAAAACAGTGGTATATGGGGTTGTTGGAACGTTAATAGTGCTTCCCTGCAGCAGTACTGAGAAGACAAATTCATTAATGAGACTCATATATCTACAGTGCTGCAGGCCATGTAGATAAATAGACAGATGCGAGTGCATTCTGGCTGCAAAATGCAATCTGTACCTAAAAGTGGGTCTGTGTCCCCTCTTAACACAAAGGAAAAAAATACAACAACAACAAAAATCCCACTGAAATCAGAAGGCGGTGATTTTCTCCCTCTTTGTATTTTATCCTTGCCATAAGTCTGTGAGCTGTTTCAATGCTTGAGAAAGTATGGATTAGCCCTGCTGGAGCCAGCCCCCAGCATTGTGTGCAAGCTCTCTGATAAACCCCTTCTGTGATCTACAGCACCCTGGCTTTGTTCTGGCAGATCTCATGCTGAAACCATCTGAGTGAAATTGTTTATTATGTAATATGCACAAATTACAAGATATGATGAACCTTTTGACTGACTTTGTAACCAGGAAATGCAGACTGTGAGAAAACAGTTATTGGAACAAATTATATGATGCAGTGGCCAACAAAGAATTTTGGTATAGATCAAGAATTTGTGTTTTCCTGGCAGCTTTATGAGGCCAACAAGTTCACTTTCTGCTTTGAGATACAGGCTGTCCACCTTAGTTGGGCAAGTTGCCCCATGCTGGCCAAAAGGATTTGCTGTGCGAGGCCTCTGTGAACTAGGAAACAGAGCTGGGAAGACAAGGACAATTGTATATTCATGTATTCAATGAGCAGCACAGATAAGAACAGAATAAAGCAAAGGAAAAATGGGAAAAATGTCTAGGAGGAGAGATTTCAAAGAGCCAAAATGTTCAGGTTCCAGCTGTGGCATAATTAGCAGTAAATGTTGAAGCAGTCATTTGGGAGAGTAAACAGAAAATTGAATACAGAGGTAGCAAAAGATTGGCATTTAAGGCATAGCATTTACTTGCAATAACTACAGTCATTGCTGCTCTAAGAATAGAAAAAAGCCGTGGGAATCTCACACCATAATTCAGCAGCACTTCTGAAATGAAGAATGAGAGTTGTACAGCTGCCTCCACACCAGAGCAGACTCTGAAAGTTTCTTGCAGGCAGGAGTTTGTCTGCTGAGGAGTCAATGGTGGGAATCAGACCATGGGTTTGCTGGACTTATCCAGGCAATCTGCATCATTTACAGCGCATGGCAGCACTAGTGCTGTGGCAAGGAAAATATCAGCATTTCTCCCTTGAAATGGAGCTGTGCAGCAGGAAGAAAACTAAGCTACGGTAGAGCAATGCTGCCCAAAGTTTGTCCTTTTATTTCTGAGTCCACTTGTAGGTCTACCAGGAGATAGTCTTCTACCTATAAATTCTCTTGTATGGTTTTGAGGATGTGAATCTTAATGGATGCCTGATTAAAATTCCATATAGTGGATAAGGTACGTTTGATTACTTCATTTGATGTGTTTACTTGGACTTGCACTTTGCCAACCTAATGGTAAGTTAGTGACGTAAACGGTATTGTTGCTAACCCTAAATCTAGGTCATCTGTTGCATCTCTATTTAGGTACTCCGTGACACTGGTTAGACAAAAGCAAGCTTCTCTAGCACACAAAAAAAGCAGTTTTTATGCCATTGAAAGGCTTGTTGAGTGTTCAGTGTACTTTTGTACTTTATCCAGTAGTAGTTAAGCACTGGTTTTGATCTTCAAAGAGTTTTATAAGCATGCCCTAATTAATGTTCACAACACCTTTTTGTGGCAGGTAAGCATTCATTACGTATTTTTGCTTCACAATTAGGCACCAGCTAATCTTTTAAATAATTTGGTTCACTAAACCTAAATGAAAAAAATTAAATTTGTTTCCTGTTGCCAATAATTATGGGACAAACCATTACTGTGTAATCCAATGATGTCTCCTTCCATTTAGTTGGAGTTTGGACAATCAACTAGTTTGATTGATGGAACTCTCTGAGGTTCTTTATAATTGCACAAGAAATCAAGCTTGATTGTTCTTGTCACTTGGGTATTGCACTGAAATTATGCTTTTAAAAATAAGTAGCACCATATGTGAGGAATGCATTGTTTTAGTTAGCAAGATAGAAGGCTTCTTGGTATATTGTTGGTTGACTGCTAAAGCATTGTGATTTTGCATCTGTTATCCACTCAAAACTTTACTTGCCTCAGTTGTTTTTTTTTTCAATTTCTTTGTAGTAAGTTAAAGTAAATAAGTTGTGTTTTTTTGTTTTGTTTTTTGAAATCTGGGGCTGAATGCCATAGAAATTGGTTTACGTCAGGAATATCTGTAGTAGCAATTAAGCCACTGTGTGTCTTGTGTTTCTTTTAAGTACTTGCTTCTGAACAATAGAGACTGTAATTGCAATTTATCTACAGAATGCTTTTTGCATGTCAGAAAAACAAACTAGAAAAACAAAACCTCATCATACCTACCATTATGATGTTGAAGTATTCATGTATACTTACAAGAAAGAGAATTGCAGATGAAAACATGAAATAATACCTTGATAGTGTTACTTGCTTTTAAGTTCATAAAAAAAATGCAAATTGAAGGGGGATTGGATTTAGAGCAAAATAAAAACTGAAACAAAATAAAAAATAATAGCATACAGTTGAAATATTTTATTTTGATTGTGATTATAAAATGTTCTACAACAGGTTAAGTAGAGGAGGAAATTACACTGAGCATGGGGAAAATAAATCTTCTTCTCCAGGGGCTACAACATCAGGCATCATAGGCAGGTTATGTTTGGCATACTTAAAATGTCCCTGTTTGATACACCACAGATTAGTGTATCAGCCTATGTTATAGCCTAGTATTTATATGTATAAAAGTAAATAAATATTGTTACAAGTGCAGCTGTTGAGCAAACACCAACCCTGAAAACACTACTTGTCCTTTTGCCGCCTATACTAATTGTACATGAACTTAAATGCACGATTTTGGAGATAGTTTTGCTCATTTAGAGAGAGAAATTTCTGAAGGAGGATATTGGAAGTAATCTTGATGTGACGGGTAGGTATTGTTACTGGGCATTTCCAAAATGCTGTCATGCAGTGGGACATCTGCAGTTCTACTGTAGATATCCTTGCTGGAGCACCATGGGTATTAAAAATCTCCATTTCAGAGGACAAATGTGTGCTACTGATAGTTGTGCTAGTAGTGAGCCTGGATTTAATCCCTTTCTTTTCAACTTATCATTTTCTATTTACAATCGATTACCTAGAGCTGACAATATTAGCATTGCTTTGAGAAGTAATGAATCCAACTCATGCATGCAGTACCAGGAGTATTATTGCTGCCTCCTGGACCAATTACTATTTGCATAATCAAATTCTTAATTGACATTTTTCCTTAAGATTGCAATGAAATCAATGCTTTTTTTTTACCCCTGTGTAAACAAGAGGAAGGAAGGTACAGCTGTATTTCTGGGTTTGCTGTGAACTGTGGGCCTGACTTGCAAGGCCTGCCTGCTGTTAGCTTGGCATGGCGTTCTGATTTGCATTAAGGTAGCTAAGTGTGCTTCTCCTCTGTAATCCACACAGTGATCTCTTATCTGAAGGTTGTGTTCTCTTTCCTTTCTTTGTAGTATTCATTCCTTTCATAGGGTGTGTCCATCTGTACGTGTAAATCTATGACTGCATGCAGACGTGTACACCTTATATTACTCTTATTCAGCCTTATTCAGTTTCTGTGCTTGATGTCATTTTTTTTTCCATATTGGTATTTAAATACATCTCTGTATTTTTTTAATAGATTTTCTCTGAATATCATGTTGCTACCATCCTCAAACTCAGTAAAGGCTTATTTACCCCTTCTTCCTTTTGTGATTTTTTGTTTGTTTGTTTCATTTTACAGCTGATTTGGCAATTGTTTAAAAACAATTTATTGTTTTTGATACCTGGGGATACAAAATATGCAACTCTGTGTAGCTTTTTGCTACTATTGTTGGATAGAGAAGTGGCTGTGGCCAGGATTGCACGCCCACAACCTAGCAATTGCTGTGCCTTCTTTGGGAGCACAGGGGGAAAGGCAATGAAGAACTAGCAGTTGGACTTGATGGTCCCTTCCAATTCAGGATATTTGATGGTTCTGTAATTCTATGAAATCGAAGATGGAAGGTGAGGATCTTTCTGTGCTCCCCCAGGGTAATTCAGCAGACTAGGCCTAAATTTGTAATCTATTTGAATCTAAAGTTTTTCCCCACTTGAAGAAGAAATGCTTAAGGACAGCACTTAGATTCCAGGGATGGAGAATTCGGGAACACAATTGATATTTTCATTCTACTTGACAAAAATAACTTTTTTTTTCCCCTGCCTTTTCCCTTTGTTTTCCACTTGCTTGTTTAATTACTGGGTGAGAAGCTGCTTCTTAACAGTGTTTTTCCTTGCTTCCATTTGTAACTTGGTTCTGCCCTCTGTTGAGCACAAGGCTTTCTGTGGTTACTCAACAGTATTGAGATATTGTCTTTTCTTGTTGTAGAGCTTCTTTGTGGCAAGATTCAGATTTTGTTGTTGTAACCTCCTATTTGCTCACCCATCATGAGATGTTTCTCCTCCTGCAATTGTCTCTTAGTCAGGATGGGACTTCTAAATCTCTGTTATCATTTAAATCCCCTCTGAGCTTAGTTGGGTGACAAAAATTCTTACCTAGCATGGCTTTGAATTAAGAAGTTAATCTTATCTTTTGATAACCAGCTAATTGCATACAGCTAGTATCAACAGAATAACACCAGACACATATTTTACAAGGTTTTGGAGTAATGTACTTTTTAACTTCCAAGCTCTACTGTCAGGCTTTATTTGGTGCGTTTTCCCTTCTGTCTGTTGAGGATTTTGTCTTTGATTCATTTAATTAAAATCAGTTCACTCCAGCCAGAGACTAGAATGCCCAATAATAACTGCTTATTAGGGAGTGGAAGCTGTGCAGTTATTAATTTAAATTATTTTGTTCCAGAGGTTTTTGCTCAAATTAAATGGAAAACCAAATTAAACAATGATTTAATTAAGTGGAAGAGATGGAACGTAGAGGCAGACTTAGAAGGTGAAGATCTGAAAGAAGCATATTCTTCCAATCGTGACATCTAACAGATGTAATACTTCAACAGCAAAACAGAGATTTACTGTCATTTGGGGGATAATGAAGAAACCAATGGTAAGAATTATGTTACAAGATAAAGAACTAAACTAATGAATATAGCTGTACAAGTCTGAATAAAACCCTCCGTAGAAAAGATTAGAAGAAACAAAGAATACATTGTCAGAAATAAATGTCAGGCAGTTGAGAATTGCTACATATGAAAAATGCTGAAATACAATGACAATTTTATAGAATGCATACAAACTTATAGAACAATTTTTTACAATAAACCAGATAGTGCACTGGGATATTGTTTCAAGGATAGCTGCCATTAAATGAATATTTCAATAATAATCATGTCAATTTGTTCACATTAATTAGATTTATGGATTGTGTATGCAGAGAGCTAGAAATCCCACGCAAGCAACAATTATCTATTAACATTTCATTTCATGTTAGATTATGAAGATATACTCGTTATGACAAGTTCACAGGTCTGTTTTGTATGTATGTGAGATGCTAGCAGTTAATTTCATGAAGGTTCTCCAGCAGGGTTCACATCACCTAAAATTAAACTTCCTGGCACTGTAGATTGAGTATATCATCTGTAAAGTCATTTACAGTAATTAGTTTATTGTTTTCTGAATAGTTTTGTTGAATAGTTTGTTTGAAATTGTTTTAATCTCCTGCAACTGGGCTATGTGATATGGTAACAACTTTGCTTACGGTCTCAGGTTACTGGAGTAGTAATGATTGATTGCAAAGTTAAACATTACTGTCATATATATTAAATACACATAAAACCAGAAAAAAAATTGTCATCTTTTCAGAGTGGTGATATATGAAAGAGCTTTTCCCATTACCTCCCACTGCCCATTGCACTCTACTGGCTATGAGGGTATAGAGGTGGCTGGAAAGGAAAAGGATTCATTCACATTCACCAGGGTAATTGCATAATTTTTACTGACTTCAATGCATCTCGTTGGCATTTCCGCAGGCGTGTTGTTGATCATGAACCGGTACCATGCTGGTGGCAATGAGTGGTCACAAACCAGGTCCTGAGCAGACGTTCGCTGCAGCTCCAGTGAGTCAAACCTGGTGCTGCGGTATGGGCTGCGGAGGACGCGATGTCCAGCTGGGGAGCACTCGGGAGCTGAAAGGTGAGACAGGACAAAGATTAAAGAATAGTTGAATTCTGGCGATAACCACTTAAAATCACTTGAGTGTATCTACTTTATGGTCTAGTGTTAGATATGGATGTTGGTGGTTCTGCATGCAGCAGGGCAGTTGGAGCTTGGATGATCCTTGAGGTCCCTTCCAACTCAAGCCATTCTATGATTCTGTGATACTTATGTTGAGATTTGGTTTAGATATCAAGGCTAACAGTGGGAAATGATGAAATTTAGTATTTCACCATATAAAATTAGAAAGTCACACTGGTGGAGAAAAAGCTCAACATCACCATAATGTTCTCTTGCAGCCTGGAAGGCCAGCTGTGCCCCAGGCTGCATCAAAAGAGGGGTGGCAGCGATGCAAGGGATGTGACTGTCCCCCTCTAATATTCCTTCCAACCCAAATCATTCTATGATTCTGTGATTCACGTACTTTTAAATACATGTTTATAAAAATAATGAAAACAGGAAATACCAAAAAGACAAAAGCTAACTGTGTGTTCTTTAGAAATAAGCTTGAGTTACTCTTGCAACTATTGGAGTCGCAGGTCAAACTCGCCCCAGGCAGGTACCCATAAAGCCAGGCACATCACAGCTCCTGTGTGTGCATCACTAAGTTTGACTCTAAACTGCTGCCCCTCAGTGTATGTTTGTTTACATTTCCACTCTGTTTATTTTCATGTTTCTCATGATTCAGTGCAGAATATTTGGTATTTTCTTATCACCTCATAAAAGGAAGCCTTCCAGTCATTTTTTTTTAAGAAGTTGTTTGTTAGCAAAAGCTGATCATGTAGAAAAACAAAACCTTTTCTTTGTTAGCAACCATTTATTCCTCTTCTGCAAAGCCCACTGTGGCTGTATCAGCACTGTAGAGTGGGGCACAAGAGGAGGTTGAGGTGGAGTTGGGCTTGGGTGGAGTTGTTGCACAACAGCAACAGAAGGCTCAGCTCATTTCTTGCTGAAGTAATCTTTAACTGCTAACAGTGATGTAGCTGGTAGAGAGCACCAAACATGGACTACATGACTTGGTTTTGAGAGCAAGTGTGGCAGTTAGCAAAATTACCCCTTTGCACTGTACACAGAGCATAGTTGTTGACAGTGAATGAGACTCCTCCCCATCATATCATTTTTCAAATGCAGCTTTTTGAATTATCACTCTACTTTAATGTTATGCCAGTGGCACTCTGAAACAGATTTATCATTCTTATTTTATTGACGAGATACTCAGAAGGTCAAAGTCAATCCGTTGCTGGCACTGTTTTTAAAGATAATCTTTATTGTGCCAAAGGCAAAGCAATGGTATACAAGACAAATGGGGACAAAACATAGCATAACAGAGCTTCACTGCAAATTTCACAGAATTTAACTGTCACTACTACAATGCAATTCCCATGCAAAATTCCTCTGAATTAATAAAATTGCCTTTTAAAGTAAAAGCAGTAAATAGTGCCTCAAACTTTTATGTAAGTAAGAGCTACTTTAGAAAGAAAACACTTGAAAATTCTGCACGACTTAGATCTGGGATCTGATCCCTTCTCTCAAATGTTCTCTTTGGGGGTCTGCACCCAGCATTGGGAACGACTTTGCCAAGTCCCAGCCTAAGGACGTGACGTTGCAGCAGACCATCTATTTCATAAAACAGTTCATCTATTTTTTAAAACCTTTAAATAGGCAGCCTCCCTACAGCCTCATTCAATATAACTCACAGCTTCAGGAGTGTTCATTGGAACAGGGCTTTGGCTTGTGGTGCTGTTTGGTTGCTCTAAGTTCCTTCATTCTGAACAAGAAACAAAAGCATCTGAGAGTAAATGGTATTTAAATATGGCTCTACACACAGTATTGGCACAGGGATCCTGTGAGACCCTTGTAATGTAATTAATAACATTCAGTTTCTCCATAACAATAATATCAAAAACTCCATTTACATGTAATTAATAACCTTCTGCTCAACCGTATTAGTAATAATCCAAATTCACACAACAGATTGTGGCCCAACTAATGATTAAGTGCTCTGTCTAAACAATGCAAATATATTAGGCATTGAGACACAGCTAATTATTTTCATCCTTCCCATAGTTTTGTTTGCAGTAGTTTAGAAAACACTACTTTGCAAATTAGCATTAGAAGCGTTTAGTGCTGTAGATGGGACATGCAAAGGGCATGGAGGGATTTGGAATAGCAAAACCCAACTCAACCCCTATGATTCTATGAAATGGGGGAGGAAGGTAAGGTTGGGGAGGAGTGTTCGCTCTTTAAACTTGGCAGTATTTGAGACAACAGTTATGTGCTCACCCCTGAAGAGTGTATTTATGGAATCCTGTGAGCAGGAGAGAGCTTTAACCAATGCTTGCCCAGGTTTTGCAGCAAGCCCTCAGCAGGGCAACCCCTTAATTACTGAGCTCCTCATGGAAATGCATCTTATTGCAGCCATATGACAATCACAGGAAAGTTTAACATGCCTGTCACTATGTAGGAGAATTGTATTGTCTTTCCCATAGAAAATAAATAAAGATATCACTGTAGCCAGACTATAGCATGAATATGTTATTTAAAGAAAACTCAGAAAGAAACAGTGGGGCCCTACAGGTGGCTCTCCCGTGGGATGCCTGCCCATGCCTCCTGCATCCACACAGTGACCAGATGGAGCCTTCTGGTCATTTTCATTCATACCAGGTGCAGATGTCAACTTTGTGTACAGTGATGAAATGCTCAGTATCACAGTTGTACTGCTGTGTGGGATAATAAAAATCTGTGCCCATGTCTTGTATGGAGCTGCTATTACTCTCCCGTGTGTGTAGGTTAGATTGCCTCTAAAAGGAGATGTTTATGTCTTTACATATGAGAAAGCTATATGTGTCATCTGCTATAGCCTCCTACAAGGAGCTGCTTCTGTTGTCAGTCCTCTGTATCATCTAGGAGCTGTTGCTCAGATGCACACATGTATTTGCTTCACTCAACTTCAATGATTCTGCAGCAGCTTCTTGCTGCAAAGAAATACTCAGCAGCTCTGACGCATTCAGAGCAAACAAAACCAATAACTGTTGCAGCTGCTAAGTGAAAACAGTGTTTGTGTATCTGTGGTGGAACAACACAGGTTTGCTTGGAAAACCTGTCTCCTCATTGGCATGAGGAAAGCTGCCGTCAGCGCTGCAGAGGTTGAGATTCACATGATGTTAATGTGCGGGATGTTGTTCTATGTAAATGAAGTGAACAGTGGTTGTGAGCTGGCCAGTGAAAGGAGAGCTGCCTGCAGAAGGCAGAAGCGTCTGGAAAATGAGCAGAAAGTGAATTTCTGCTGTAGTGTTTCACACATGAAATCATAGAATGGCTTGGGTTGGAAGGGACCTCAGAGATCATCTAGTTCCAAGCCCATCCATGATGGGTGCCATTGTGGGTCACCCAGTGTTGCACTTCTTGGGCAGTGATGCTGGTGGAGCAGATTATAGAATCATAGAACCATTAAGGTTGGAGAAGACCTCAAAAATCACCAAGTCCATCCACCTACCCATGTCCAGCATGCCCGCTGAGCACATCCCTCAGTGCCACATTTCCACATTTCTTGAACACCTCCAGAGATGGTGACTCCACCACCTCCCTGGGTGCAAATACTGCTGTGGGGACAGCCAGACACCCACTCATTCCATCTGATGCTCACAGTCGGGAGGGACATCAGGAACATTGGAATGGAAAGCTGAAAGCTCAAAAGGAAATCATTCGCTAAACATTTGCTTTTAATTCTGAGGGCAGGTGAGTGTGGGTGTGATGGCTCTGCCTGTCACTCTCACTCCCAGTAAATATCAGTGGCTTACACAAAGAAAGGTTTACGAAGCTCTGAGATTTTGTTTATTTGTTTTGAATAGCGGCAGCAAATCAAATAATATCAATAGGTGATGGCAGCTCAAAAACCCCAAGAGAAATATAGTCCGCAAGCCTGAGGTGTGTGTTTGTTTTGTGTGAAGCAGTGCCAACCACACAATATATTTAAAGGGCATCTTAAAGCTCCAGAAAATAGCTGGCAGACCAATAATTTTTGTGTGGATGGTGAATGAATGCCCAGTGATTGAACCAGATAATAGGATCAAACAGCAGCTTTTGGTGATGTGTTGTGATTGCCCTATGGCTGAGAAAGAGGTTCCCTGGGCTTGGGGTTCTGGCTGGGCACTGGGAGAACCTGGGGCCACAAATATACGACATATTTACTTAAAGTTATGGGTGAAAATCCTCGATTTGACATTTATATGATGTACGGTTATTTTGTGAAATCCTTCCTTCCAGATATTGAAATTTTCTATTTTTTGTTAATTGCTTTAAAATCCATAGTTGTACAATATGTTTTCCAGGGTGTTTGAATTTCTCTTCACAGGAAAATTAGGAAGGATTTTCATCTGGAAAGTCCGAAGTGCATAGCATATTAACTTCAAACCAGTGGTAGCTCAGGTCTGTGCTAGCTTTTTTCTCTTGTCTCAGAGATGGAAGGAAAATCACCAGCCACTTCCATGGCCAATAGCTGCATTACACTGATGTAGTAAAGCTCAGGTGAAAGCTTCTGAAGTTTTCAGTCTGTCAGTGCCGTCCGCTTCCTAAGAGGATGATTTTCTGTATGTTGAAAGATAGTTTGGGCAGAAAAAGAAGGCAGACACTGGGAAAGGGAAATTCTTTCCAAGTTGCTAATAGATGCGTGCAAAATAAATGTAGAAGACTCTGGTATTATAACATCTAAACATTCCTACAGATGCACCGTTAGTAGATAGATAAGTTATTTGCAGATAAGAAATATCTGGCAGTATGTTACAGGCTGAAGTCACTGCCTTATTTCAGCAATATTTGCTACTATTTAATGCAATTATCCTGCGTATTGATGAGAGAAATTTTATTCCTAAAATGATTCAGAGGCAGAAATTTGTTGTGAGGATGAATGTGACAACTAAAATAAAAAGCTCAAAGCATGCATGCTCTTCTGATAGGTAAAACATAGTATTTTTTTATATCCATCGTAGCTACTAAATAAAGCTATTTTCAGATAATTCAGAAGCAGAAGAACCTCCTACTGAACTGAAATAATAATGAAGCACACTGGATAAACACCACACACTCATAATGGCCAGCTCTTGAACAAGTCATAATTTGTTCACAGAATGAAATGGAAAGAGATAAATGAACTACTGTATAAAATGAAGGTAATTATAGAAAATTTGACCTAGAAAGAAACTGAAAAGGGAGAGAAAAGACGACATTTCTCATATGTATTATTTGTTCTGAATAACAGATGGAATTAAGAAGAAAAATCAGGCCAAACAGGGACACAGTATTTGAGAAGTCTGCTGCTCAACATTTCCCCTTAGATATTACGCTGTTTTAAAAATAATGCATCTTCAGGTAACCCAGGCAACTCAGCACAATTACAAACCATTTCACATATATGTCTGTTATGGATAAGCACTTCTCTTTTAAGGTAGTCTTTAGACTGTTTAGCTCTGGGGATCTGCCACAATCTGAGATAAAACACAGTCTGCAATACTTCTTCCTGTAGTGTACTCCAACCAGTGTCAGAAGCAGCAAAGTGGGAAGACATCCCTTTCCTTCTTCCCTCAGTCCTATGGATACTTTATGCAAGACCCTTAATATTTTCTACTTGTAGTATATGCAACTAAAACTCTTACTACAGATTGCTCCCACCAGGCAGGATTAGTGAATATAATGCTTCATTCTCAGGGAATTCTTTTTTTTTCTTTCAGCACAAAACAGTTAGCCCTGAGAGAAAGTATAATTGAAAAAAAAAACATCCAACAATCTGAAGATGTTGTCTGTACGATGTATCTGAGTTTCATTTACCTAGGAATAAGGTCACTTATTATTCTGGTCTTCTATGAACTAAAGCAATATACTATTGACAAAGTGGGGGCCAGCGTTCAGTTCCAGAGAAAACAATTATTTATTCATACTAGTATCTCTTATCTGAGCATGCATTTCTATTTTTAACTTGAGGTTGGGAAAGAAGGAATTGATTACATGCAAGCTCTCCTCTTATCTGTGTTTCCCCTGAATGCTTCACAGATCAGTGAGCTATGCACTGCTCCACAGGAGTATGCGGATAGAAGCAGCCAAGCATCTCTTACCTGAGGACTGAAAAGGTGTCAAGAATGGCTGACGAAGGAGGTGACAATAAGAAGTCCCTGCGAGAAAGGTGAGCAAAGACTGGGGAACAGCTTGATGTGGAGTTTGGAGCACTGTCATGAGAGGTGTGCTGCAAAATCACACCGAGTGACTTGTATCTAATGGATATGGTGGGCATGGATTGGCAGTTGGACTAGATAACCTTAGTGGTCTTCCCAACCTTTCTGATTCTATGAAAGCATTTTGTTCATTGTTCATTAAGCAGTATGAGGGAACTGTGCTTCTCCTTTCGAGGACAACACCACACTTGCAAACACCTGACCTGGCTTTCCAGCAGAAGTGTTGTCTTCTGAAGCATTTCCATCTCTGGGGCTCTCTATGCTCTCTCTCACCAATGCACAATTTGCCCACAAATAGTGCTGTGGAATAAATGGAAGGACACATGATCACTTAGATGAAAGCTCTGTGTGGCTGTACAGGACGGGGAAATTCTGTGGCTTCCTTGCTTTGCAAGGGTAGCCTCATCTATTGAATATTTCAATTAGAAAAAGCAACAAAGCCAAATTGTGTCAATTACTCTATTAAACTTCTCCAAGTCTCATCACCACTAATTCTGGCCTGGCTTCAGAATTCAGAGACAGGAAGGCTCAGCTTCTGAATATAGAAATCACTACTGCTGTGTCAGAAGAGAATTAAAAACCTCATAAATCTCCTCAAGTTATCTTTAAGTTAATGGGGATGCCTTTAAGGACTTCTGAGCAATCAATAGGAAGAAAATTATAATTATTGTTATTGATTGGTCTATTTTGCTCTCATCCCCCTGAATGAAAAAATGACACAATATGAAAAGCTTCTTTCTTACACCCTAATCTCAGTTGAACATACACTTGCAAATGTAGCTTTCCTAAATAGCAGTAGCAAAAACAAACTCACATGTTTTGATTTTAGAGCCACTGGGCTCTATTCAGATGGAAATTTGAATTCCATGGTTTACCCCTTTGAGAATTGGAGCTGTTTCCATACCTAAACTGCAATGCGGGCTAATTACAATTTGAGAGCCACACATGGCTCTCTTGGTAAATGCTGAATTTTGGCGACATTTCCTCCAGTTTAATTCTGCACACGGATGATATAACAGTGGGGAATGTGTCACCACTAACTTATTGTCCATGAATCCAGGATGCAAGCAAAGACTGGCAGAAAGATAAGGGGACACCAGATGAAGGCAGCTGAGAGCTGCCAAACATCAGATTCCTGCGTATGTCCTGGGTGTGATTTAGATCCTAATATATGCAGGGTGACGAGGCAATTTTTCCTGTTATTTCTTTGTTACTATTCATCACTATTATTCATTCCATTCACCAGCACAACAGTGTTTTCAGCAGCCAAGTGCTCCTCACACGTTTCTAATGGGTTTTTCTGTCAGCGCTTTGATATTTAGGAAGAATGGTTGGGTTTGCTCTTGCCTTTGCAGTAAGGCTGTATTCGTTACTGTTCTGCAGCAACGTTCTCTCTGCTTGTAAATGGCCATGCTCTATGTCCCAACTAATGCACACTCCTAGAAGGATCTCACCTCCTCCTGACCAAAATTCAGGTCTTATCGACCCTGCCTGCCTGTCTGTCTGCTCATGGGCTGGCCTCTGCTTGAAACTTGGAGGGTTGTCACAGAACAGGCTTTGAGGATGCAAAAACTCTTCGCAGGCATTACTGCACTCTGGATGGATTTAAAAATATTAAAATAAAAGGTCATGAGCTAGAAATAGTCAGAGGCATGCCTGGCCTGTGAAATAATATAAAGCTGTGTGCTCCCACCTGTGGAGCGCAACATTAATTCTACTTCATTTCCATAAACCAAGTTTATCAATGATCCTAAGGGTTTGTTCCTTCAGCCCTTGAAAGATAGAGTTTCTGTGCATACAGCCATAATTAGCTTTAATATTAAAATAATTAGCACCTTCCTGCAATAGAAACAAGTTAGTTGCAGCTTCAGCCAGCAATTTCCTACAGTCATGTATCTGGGGGGAATCTTGCACATCTGATTTTGAAGAAAGCTGCACATTGTGCACCTAGCACTTGAATGAGATCTGTTGGCACTGGACCATGAAAGAGCAGGGCCTTAAGCACCAGTTCATGAAAACCTCTCCATAAATACATTTGCTCATTTCATTTACTGGAATTTTGTCCCCACTCACTGTTCTAAGAGGTACACATTTTGCTGGGTTATCTTTGCTTTAGCTATTCCACAGATCTCTGTTAATTTACCAGGAGTAGCAGAAGCATTCGTAAATATAGCAGGGTTTCAGGAATCTGTAAGAGTTCAGTGATAAGCTGCTTTTTGATATAAAAGAAAATCCAGTTCAGCTGGTGTCAGCTCAGCCTTCATTACATTTACAGCTGCTACCTG